ATTGGTCAATTATTTGCCTGCTCTGGCATCACTATGCCAAGCCTCTTGCATTGTCTGTAGTCCCGTAAAAGTCACGTGCCAGTGTGTATTGAACAAGCTGTATTGAGGCTATGATTGTTAGAATATCAGTGGAGGGTGCCTCTTTTGCAGTATGGAGGGGATGCATGCACTTTTGTAATGATGTGAGCTCCTCCATACACATGTGGGATGAATCTCATGGTAGCTGTGCCCTTACTGCACTGCATGCTCAACATCGACACTGCAATTATTGTCACCATTTGGAGAATACCACATTTATATAACGTTATCTACAACATTGAGCAAACATTTTATATTCTGTATATACAGTAACCGCGAGTATCTCGGTTTAAGTGATACACTCATCGGTCGTCACGCCGAGTCGTGAAATAAAAATTCGTGCTACCGTGTAGCATCCACCGTGTCTCGCAGGCTCTCGCGAGACACGAGGCACTTCTCGGTCTGTATCTGCGGGTAAGCACGGTGGTAAGGAAATCACATGACGTAGTTAGTACGTCATTGCATTACAGGAAGACTTCATTGTATTGTGTGACGTCATTGGTACAAGTTTCTCGGGGCCAAGGCGCTGCTTAGCCAATCAGCTGTCCATCTGTTTTGTTTGTTGTACATACTGTACAGTACATGTTATTGTTGCAGTTAATCATGGACCCGGATCGTGCAGCCCTGGAGAGGGAGGGTGGGCGAAGCCCCTCCTTCTAACCAGCCCTTTCCCCATTATCTCATTGTCATCATCGTTAATATTAAACGTATAAAAAGTTAATGTAATGTTTACGTTTTATTGTGTTATTGTATAATGTTCTGTATTTTATAAAGAGGCAACTTAGTTAAGCTATGACGAGTCTGACCGTGGCAATGCTTCCCCTAACCCCCTATTACCCATAGGCCCCTGTGGTTTACCAACTGCGCATTTACCAACCGCGAGATTTTTCAGGAACGTGAAAAAACCTAACCTTCGCGGTTGGCAAGGGATTCCTGTACAAATATACATTACATCAGTAGCAATGGAATTTTCCCCCGCTGCTGTATGTATAATTTATATGCAAATCTAGAAAATTAGAGCGTGATATGAAACTAATTCAAGTCATGTCAAAATGTTACTCAGTCATTGTAATATTTATCATTTGGTTCATAAAGGAAATGCTCGGCTTAATGCATATCAGGCTTCTTTGTATTTTTGTCACTTAAGGCTCAAAGCTTACCGGGCACTTCAGGAGGCGCTTAGGTGTAACTACGAGAGCTGGCAAATATGGGAGAACTACATCTTGACCAGCGCGGATGTAGGGGACTTTGCGGACGTCATCAAGGCATATCATCGCATGATGGACTTGAAGGAGGGCTACAATGATGAAGAGGTGATCAAGCACATTTGCTTTATCTAAATTACACTGCTTGAGGAGGACATGCATTGGTTACCTTTTTCTTTACGTAACTTTGACCAGTCTGGCTGCGTAGCCATGGCTGCAGGATAAACATGCACACATTCCCATAATGCTCACAGGTGGCTCTTTAATGCTGTTGAAGTGTTGTGTTTCGAGTTGTCTGTTGAATCTTAAGGTACAATAGTTTCTGTGATGCCTTGCGGCAGGTGCTCCATATTGTGGTGAGAGCAGTGACGGAGGGGCTGCCGGACTTCAAGGGGGATTCTGCAGCTGCTCTGCTTGGGAAGGCCCGGGAGCTTATGGGCCGTGTCACCAGCCGAGTAACCAGTAATGGCAACGTGTGGCGTCTCTACGCCAAGTTGTACAGCGATGGAACATCTCCTAGCCAAGAGGATAATGATAAGGTGGGGGTGGCTCGTGTTGTTTGATCATGTCTTGCCTCTTAGGAAAACAGAACTAGATTTAATCTGGCTTTATTTTAACTTGTGTAAGTACATTAAGTTTATGGTCTCTGACTATAATGTTGTATAAATACGAATACTGTAAATTATATTGTCATGTATAAATAAGCACTTCGTTGTTACAAACATGGTGCTGTTTATAATAAATGTTTCACAATATAGGCATACCTCTGATAGCACTAAGGATGTGTTCTTGGTAAATGAAACGCTGTACGAAACAGCGCTATAGGAGGTTACTATAACATGGTTCAAATGGAGATGCGTTACTGACAGCACTATTTTTACCTATGAGCGATATGAAGGCTTCATTGGGTTATCGATAATAGTCTTAATAATGATACTGTACACATGATAAATGTATAAAAGCATTTTATAAATAAAAATAACTTTGAATGATGACATAAAAAAATACAAGTTATGTACTTGGTCGGAGTTTGCGTACGATTAACCACGGTCTGCTGCAAACAGACGTTCCACGGGAAACTATACTAACCATGGATCGCTTGCCAATTCATCTATGCAGTGATTAACCCTCGATGGATCGGTACTCTGTGGCTGTCAGTTTGACTCTGAGCACAATCGATGCAATAGACACCTCGATTCAGGTTCCATAAGACCATATCAGGGCAAGGCAAATACATGCCCCTACGGGCAATGCTTAATCTACTTCTATGTATGTGTAGTGTCAGTGAGACGGCGCTATTACACTACATATGGGTTAATCTGCACAGGAATTTTCCTCCAGGACAGTGTTATAAGAAATATGTCTGTAATAAAGTGTGCATCTTTTTATCTTTTTTGCACTGTTGGAATTTACACTATCATTTCCTCCGAAGCATGTAATTATTCTTTGCTTTTTTGTAGGTTTTGCAATTTTTGTCAAAAGCTCATCGCTGTGATACACTATCCAGTGATTGGGAGAAGGATGTCAATTCATTCAAGGTTGTGGCCAACAGGGCAGTAGAACTTGCTCAAGGTATGTTATAGCACAACATTTTTAGAAATCATGAAATTACTTGCAAGTACTGTATTTGTATTTATTTTAGGGGGAAAACGTGTATTGACTTAAGATGTATAGTTATAGAACACTCTTTGTTATGTCCTAATTGGCCTTCTCAACATATCCAAACAACATCTGTAAAACACAAATTTGATGATGGCTTTTTTGGTCTTTTCCTTCTAGTGTCCATCCAATGTGCCAAAAAAAAGGGCAGTGCGCAGGAGGCCATGCAGCTGTTGTCATCAGCTCGTCTCAGCCTCCGGGGCCTTTCTGCTAAGGCCAAGGTGAGTCCAAGCAGAGTTTAAGAGAATTCTAGCAGCTGTGCATGGCTACCATTAAACACTCATTGATGGGCATTGTGCGTTTTGGAATTTTTTTGGATCCAGAGTAAATTTAATTTTGTAATATTTTACGATTGAATGTACTTTATGCTCAAAAATATATTTTTTTAAATTAACTTGCTTTATGAATAAAAAATACAGACGTATAGTGTATTCTAGTAAAAACATACAAATCTGTTTTATCACTTTTTCTACAATGCTACTGGAATCATCAGCAGCAAACATGCACTACATACTGATGGATAAGGGCCTCTCCACATTATCACCATCCTTCATGGTTCATCAATCTCTGGTGCATGTGCTAATATTGTTGCTTCATCGTCCTCACAGTCATGTCTTCTCCTTTGGTTGCAATTCCAGTCCCACCCATTGGCCATCCTTTCTCGTAATGCATCCTTGCCCAACCCAACTTACTTTCCTTAAGTCAAGATATCTCAAATATTAGATTGTGATCTGATCCAAGTATTCCTTTTTTGGTGTCTTTGTTTAAATCCCAGCATGCATATCTCCATGCTTTTTTGCATCTGTTCAATTATTGTTCCATTTTCTTTGTAAGGGTCCATCTTTTCTGATCATATGTCATAGGAATACTGGAAAACTTATGATAAGATTGCAATCGTGTGTACATGATGTGATACATGACCACATTTGGTGTTACTTTGACTGCGAGCAGCAGCAGCACACGGATATGAGCACCGGGGAGCTACAAGGTGACCTCATGGACATTGTGCGGGCGATGGACAGCCTCGGGTTGGAGTTACAGGAGCTCTGCAATAAGCTTAGGAATTCCGTGTAGTAGCTGCACAGAGCAGAGGATCAAATCTCAACGCTGCAATGCACACTCAAGCTCAGTAACTGCACTCGTGGTATTCAAGTTTGAAATGAAAAAACAGATGTCAGCTGGATGAGACTCGTATATTACTCAATTGATCATTGCTAATTCCGATTCCACATCATACCATGTCTTATCTTCAGTTTGTTATGATTGAATATAATGACTCTTCTAGGAGGAAATTATTACCGTACAAGTATTTTTGTGAGAGAGTAATTGATATGTTTGGAATTCATTCATGTGGAGTTGTGCCTTAAGGGAAATAGGTATCTTAATACCGTATTGCTTGTATCCTGCAGTTTGGGGTGTGAACATGCAATGTGTGCATCGTTATATTTGGAAATGTTTTCAATAAATTAACATTTTCTACATTTGTTATGTCATTTAATTCAAACTGTTTTGATTCCATTATTCCAGTCCAGTTTGCTTAAGATACTTTAAATCTGCACTGTGGTTTTAAATAAAGGTTTATTGTGTAATGTAGGAATTGTATAAAAATCTAAACATGAAGCACATGCAATACTGCACTAAGCAATAAGAATGTGACTAATTTCTATTTGCATTAAACTGCTCGTCGTGGGACGGCAAATATAGCGTTGAAACATTAAATGTGTTTTATTTGGCTTGTTGCACGCCAGCAAAGTTTTCTATTTTTTTCCCCTCAATCGCATCCGCTTCCCTCCCTAAAATAAAACTTGTAAAAAAGAAAACTCTTGTGGGGGAGGGAGGGGGGCTGAGGCTAAAAAAAATTGATCAAATAACCCCGCACCTGCAGTGAACTCTCACTTTGGTGACCTCACCTCCCACCCACGCACATCGGTAACGACTCAGCTGCATGGCATCTGCTCGGTCACCGCTTGATTGGCTGGGCCATCTGTTGGCGCCGCCCTCCGCTCTCCTCCGCCCGACACACCCGCAAAGCACACGCGGTGTCGGCGCGGGTCTCGCGATTGCAATAGGCCCGCCAGGGCGGTGACGCACATCAAGAGGGCCGGCGCGTTCCACACGATTGGCCCCACACGCAACCACAGTGGTGGGTGAACATTGGCCGCAAGTTGGGGAGTTTCCCCCCCACAGGCCCCGCCACTGGGAGGCGGGAACTCCCCGGCAACGCGTGGGCCGCGCGTGGATGCGGTTCGGGGGATAAGTCATGTGTAGCCCGCGGGCAGTGAGCTCACACTGAGCGGTGGCTTGCATGGGATGGGACCCCCCTTTCCTAACGTTCTCTTTTTATCTGGCGGGACCCCCCCCCACTCTTGTTCTGGTAGGACTCCGTGTAGGTCACTATTTTGGAAGCCACTACCTTCCCTCCTCCCCTATTCGCGAGACCACACTTTTCTTTTTTCGACTAGTGGGACTCCAATATTAACGGACTCTACCCCGTCATCCTCAGTGGAACCCTGAAGTCAGTAGAGTTTTGACCCCTCTATCCTGGTGGGCCCCATTTCCATATAACTTCCTCCTGGTAGGCACTTATTACTCCCTCTTGTTAGAACTCTACATCTGGTGATGCTCTATAATTGTCCTGGTGGGGTCCCGCTTCTACTGTTCTAGTGGGGGTTTGCTGTCTTCTGGTGGAGGTGTTCCTCTCCATTATATTGGGAGCTCTGCTTTCTAGTTAACCCCTTCGTTGTACCTGCTTTTTAAAACTTTCCCGATGGGTCATCTTGTGCTTTGATGTGTGTCCCCTCTTCATTTTCTTGGTAGGACCTCTTCCAACTTCGCAATAATGGGCCCTATCTCCTCGTGAAAGAGCCTTTTATTTACTCGGGGCAGCGATCTCCAACTTCCTTCCCCTCGTGGTGAAGGTTCCCCCAGCTGGTGCCCAAAGCCTCGCCCTTTCCCGGCGAAGTCCCACCGCGTGGTGGGGTCAATCCCCCTCCGAGTGGAAGTGGCCTCTCTCCTCCTGGTAGTGGGGGTCCTGTCCCGGCGCACCCTTCCACTCCTCCCCCTTCTCCTCCTCCTCCAGCCTTCGCTAGCCACCTCCCCCGCCTCTTTATTAAGGTGAATGCTGTAAATCCCAGGAAGGCAATCCGCACGCATTCCGAGCGCCAGGACCCACGACCCGGTCGAGACGCAGGTCGCGTCCCAGCGTCCCCCAGGAAGAAGCGACCTTCGGCGGCCCTCCGGTTCCGCCACCCCGGGCTCTCGGCCACCCAGGGCCCCCTGCGGAGAAGAGGCGCAAGGAGGCATGGCGAAGGTCGCCGTCTGCCCGTGCCGCTGTCTGTGCCTGCTGCTGCTGCTGGCCGTGTTGGCTGGGGCTCAACATAGGAGCTACCGAAGGGTCTTCACATACGTGGTGCAGCAGCAGCAGCAGCAGCAGGGACAGCAGCAACAGCAGCAGCAGCAGCTTGAGCAGCAGATCGCGCAGTCTCACCGCGTAGCCGGCTTCAGGGACAGCCCCGTGCGCCTCCGCGCCGCGTACGGCGCCGAGGGGGCGCTGCCCCTGCGGGCCCGACCCGGCACGGGGACCCAGCAGCATCATCATCATCAGCAGCAGCATCATCATCATCATCAGCAGCAGCATCATCAGCAGCAGCAGCATCATCAGCAAGGCTCGGCTCCACGGCAGGCAGCACAGCTCCCCGGGTGAGTGCAGTCGAGCTTGTTGCGTCTTGCTCACACAGCGGCACGCACGGGTAGGGTCCCAGAGGTGGAGCGATGGACCCAGGGGTCCCGGGATGGAGGGGACCATCTCTTGACCCGAGGAGGAATCGACTCGCCCAGGGTCGCGGGCTCAGTCCAGGGTACATGGGATGGACGAGACCATCTCTTGACCCGAGGAGGAATCAACTCGCCCAGGGTCGCGGGCTCAGTCCAGGGTACATGGGATGGAGGGGACCATCTCTTGACCCGAGGAGGAATCAACTCGCCCAGGGTCGCGGGCTCAGTCCAGGGTACATGGGATGGAGGGGACCATCTCTTGACCCGAGGAGGAATCGACTCGCCCAGAGTCTCGAGGTGGAAGGCTCAGTCCGGGGTACATGGGACGGAGCGACCGTCTCGTGGAGTACTGGAGGAACCATCTCTGGTTCTTCCCCGGCTCCTGGAGCTGTCTTCTTATGGATGTCAGCGTTGGGGCTGTTGGTGTGTGCCTTCGTTAAAGTACTGTACTTTAACGACGCGTTATTTGTGCGTTTGGAGTGTATGTTAGAAGCACGGGTTAATTGTAAATGCACGTGCCTCTAGTTTAGTGGGTTTAGTTGTTGTGTTTGTGTTATTTGTGCGAGTAGTCGCCAGTGGTTGAGGAGGATGGGGAGGTGATTAGAGATCTCTCCCCCCCCCCACGTCACCAACACGCATTGACCAGCGCGGTGAAGTATGGCCAAACAAGACGGCGTGGCGGGACCTTTCAATGGTCTATTGACAGCGTGCTTTATGTTACTACGCACCCCGGTCGGTGGTATTTGCGCAAAGTGGAGGTTGTGTGTGTGTGTTTTGGGTCGGTTTGTGTATGTTGTTCCTTGGCTTGTGTACAATGGGTGGGCTTGTACGTGTGTGTGTGTGCTGGTTTATTTGTGTGCTGGTTTATACACACATCAGCGTCTTGAGTTGCGGTTGCATAAGATGCTTTATTCATCAAAATTTTGTGCATTTCTGGCTTGTTTGCTGCTAAGTGTGTTGGTTTTTTGTTGTTGTTGCGGGTCGTGTGTGCCGTTTGGGTGACCCGCTCGCCGTGGGTGAACAAAATGCATTCCTCGTTGAAGAATCCGCGTGTGGTAGGTATTCTTCTCAAAGCCATCGATCAAAGGGGAAATAAAGATCAATCGCATCACGCGTATATGCACTGCTTCATCAATTGTGCAAGTGCTCAACTCCCCCCCACCACCCCCCTGATATCACCTGTTCCCAAGCCAGTTGCTGTAACTTGGTAAGCACGGGCCACCAATCGGTGTAATCACGTTAAGTGTCTAATCACAGTTAATCACTTAACTGTTGTACCACCACCCAGCGTGCTGCGTCTCCCCCACCGGATGATATTAATTTCGCTCCAGTAATTTAATGGCTTCACCTGAGGGACACTAGCCCACGCGGTTAAAGCATTGACGCACTCGAGCGTAGACGCGCAACCCTTGAGATGTTTAACGATGCCTGCGAATTGTACAAAGCAATTCCATCGCGAAAAATTAATGCCCCCTCCCATCACGGCAAATGCCGCAAGTTGTGAAGCTGTGCTTATGCCTTGACCTCGTAATGTTTGCGCTTCGTGGTGTACTTCGAAAAGGGTGAAAGGCAATTGAACCCTGAATGTAACTTTATAAAAATTGTGCTGTAGAATACATGTCTCACGGCATCACTTCCCTCGGATAGTTCGTCACTGCGTGACACGGGAATCCCTGGGTGCCGGAGGCTACATGAGCTGGGTGTCAACTCGTCTCGCGCCACCGCGCAAGCGCTCTCCCAATGCGTTTTACGCGTCGCCGTCATTCATACTTCAGCATTCCAAGTCAACGGGAACACGAGGCTTTTTGTTTGTTTTTGCCCATCGTAAAAATTGTCTTGCTGTATCTGATGCAGGCCGAACATTTGTGGAGCACAGTGCTGCCCAGGATGGAGCCAGAGCCCCGGCTCCCAGATGTGCACCAAACGTACGTCCTGACCCCTCGCCCCCTACCCTGTGTCCCTGCGGTGTGCGATTATGAACAAAACTGTACTGTAATTTAACAACATTGCGAGGGCAATGGTTGAAATTGTGCGAGTTGAAAATGCGCTGTCAATGATACAGAAGTGTGCTCCCTCCAGATGGCGCTCTTTCTCCTGCTCTGGTGTTTGGGAAGTATCAACTGTTTAAGAAGTTACCCATAGTGCTTTCTCTAAATGTCAGAATATGCTGCTACGTTCCTAAATAGAACAACGTGCTGATAGCCAATACGACCTTTGTGACCTTGCCAATATAGCAGATAGGTGAGGTCACATTTTCATAACTATTATCAGCATTAAAACGACCGGACTCGTTCAGGTTGACTGTGATGTGCTACATTTTGAGTACATCCATTTCATTCAACATTTGTTATTCTTCAAATGGTAACCTTTAGAAAGATGCAGGTGAGTGGTATGCTTCTCAGATGTATATGCGTTACAACATATGTTTTGGCATTATCTTAAGATTTGACATAAATATGGTGTTCCCTTAAAAATAATAGCATTCTTAAAATAATAATATACCTTGTACTTATTTATTTATACTCTCACTGAGAAGAAAGGAAGAACTTGATATTTGGGCCAACTGGCCTTCCTGAAGAACGCCTTCCTGTTATTTCCTGTACCAGTTATATATAAGTTCACTGAAGCTGCAACTTGACAACACATTTTTCAATTTCCATTGTAGTAATGGAAAACAGAATGGCAGTCTTAGTAATTCACAGGATACTGACTGTAAGTAAATGGAAAGTTCATCACTACATCCTGAGGTATCTGTGGGAAGATCCTATCTCAGCTGGTAAAAATCACTTCAGTTCTGCACAACATGTGTACTAAAGCCAGGAATTTGGGTGGCTGCAGCATAAATGGCCATTCATTGATGTGAGAACCAATCAATCAACTTCCAGGTGCCATTGAGAAAATGCACGAAAGATAAATGTTTATCTTCCAAATTGGTTTTACTCAGGCGACCCAAACACAACCAAATCGGCAGCAAGATTTTTCAGACAAACAGCTTTTTCAAACAGCTTCAGAGTCCACTATTTTCTTCCGTTGTTGATGCGTCTGTAGGACATGACAGTGCACTTACTCAACGTTGCTTAGGAAAAGTATGATGCATTAGCTGCTTTAGTCCTCATTTGAATGCAACGTAGCCCGTGCGAGTCTTCAGTATGTGACATTACCAAATACAGTCATTCTGTAAATGGCATTAGTAGAAATGTTATTTACACTTACCCATTAGACTAACGTCATCTATTTTCCAGGAAAGCCTCAACAAGTCTCAAAGCTCTTTCTCAGGAGGGTCATGCATTGTGATGTTTGGCCATTCTCTATTCAAGAAGCTTGTGCTCATGGGTAGAGATTGTAGTACCCAGAGAAAACTCACGCACATTATGGGCTAACAGTTAAAGATTCACAAGTGGGTTTGCAAACCCACTTATTGCAATAACTTTGCAACCTTTACAGTCTTGGAGTTTCACACATCTGTGGTCGATCAATCCGTGTCTCAAGTGTTGGATCAGAGGTGGGATATATCAAATTCAGTTTAACACGTAGGCTTTCGCGACCAATATCCATCCATAATGCAGGGCTCACAAGTGACGTCATCACATCTATCCCTCTATTTAAGGAAGGAAACAGGAGGATTTCTCCACTTATCTGGCTGTCGCCTGATGAAGCTAGTTGTACTTACTGGCGAAACGTCGTACTCTGATTGTAAATGTTGTGGATTTGCTCTGCAACACACCGATGTGCTGTACTAGTAATCAATTGGCATGTTCTGTTTACGTGGCAAACCTTACTAATTAGCTGTGTCAGGTGGTGGCAGGTTTAACGACACATTTATATTTATGCGATCTTTCCCAAAAAAACTATTTTATGGATAACAAATTAAGTTTGTACATATTAGGTCTCGATTTCATTTTATATCATTCTTCCACAGAGGAGTGTGGCGATTGTGACCAATGCATGTTGCGAAGATGTAGCAGGCATGTAATTATTCTCCCCCCTACAATATGATGAATTGTCATAATTCAGGGTCCCATTTTGAATAAAATATTAATTATGTTTTCCCATGGTGAATTTGGCATTTGTAATGGATGCAGGTTTTTATGTTACGTAAATACGTATCACATAGATAATATTCAAGTTCGGTGAATTATCCATCGCAAGGAGCAGGGCAAAGTGAGGAGTGTTCTTCGTGTTCTCAAAGAACTTAGGTTGTATGTCATGGAATGGAGCCAGGTCAACTCGCTCTGGGCTCCTCCTCGGGTGTGAAATTTATCTATAACAATGTGCAGCCAGTGCCTGCTGGTAAAAAATACATCTCCAGCCGTCCGAGTATCATTATCGTGCAAGTCGGAGCTGGGTAATCTTCAGGCTGTTTATTATAAATACAGAAGTACTGAAATGATGTGACATATGATCTAGAGCCAGTGCGTGGCGCTATTAATACTGTGGCACGACGATCCACGTGGTAGGATTGTGCCAGATAACGAGTCTTATGGCTGATTCAGAATAATCCACTACAAGAACCGTAGTGTCAAACCTCATGCTTGTTTTTACATATTTCCTTTGTTTTTCAGCAAGACCACCGATTGAAATAATATAATTCCCTGTATATTTAGCAGAATTGGTATTTGAACATATTTGCATTTGAATGTATTGGCGGTACACCGGCGCGTGGGATGAAATAAGCAAAATTTTGCACAATTATTTATTTTCTTGCGATGCACAACTCCGGTCATAAAATCTTGCGGGGTGCGTCAAAACCTGTTCTCGTGATGTCGAAGCAGTCAGAAGACGAATGTTATGAATCTTCACAGTATGTTGCCGTAGAGCACCTAGTGTGATGACAACTGTCTCCATGTTCCAAAGGCAAATTTGATTCGTGCCCTAGACTTGGTCGGACGGTTCCTCGATTCATTTCCGGAATCATTCTTGGCGGACGATGGCATCAAAAGATTATGGCTCGTGTCACACGTTCGAATGGGAAAGCAGCTGCTGAATCTCAGGAAACCTCTGATGGAGAGTCTGCAGCTCACTCAAGCGCAACAACGACATCGTCAGTTCTGGTCTAATTTTTATTTGGCGGGTCTCCAGAATTAGCTCGGTCAGCGGCAGCAGCGACTTCTCAGGCATTTTCTTTTGGTGGAGCGTCAGCAACGGCTACAGTGTCTGATCGAGCTTCATCGTCAACTGGAGTCAGCAGCAATTCAATGAACAGCAACTGAGTCTGCACGGATGCAGTTGCCGTTTACGAGGACCGGTGTGTTATGCTGCACTGATGTACCGTCAGTACATCAATTTAATGTTGTATTGGGAATTAATTGTTAATGTTGGCATCGTGGTAATTGTGCAGCACGACCGGGTGAGTGCCAGGATAGCCCCCTGTTGGCAGGTGTCCAGCAATCTGCCGGCCTCTGTTATGCTGTCAGGCTCCGTGCACTCTCGGCCAAATTCTTCGGATGGTTTTAGATCCCAGTGTTTCAGATGCCGTACTTTAATAAAGCCCAGTATGACTGATATCGCTTGTGTGGCGCCCGTTTGCCTCGGTGTTGAAGGGGGCCGTCTTTCATGCTACGTGACTGTGCAGAAACTGGCAGTGTTTTTCTTACTTTGCTTCTGTGCAGTGGCCATATTGCAACAAGCTGGTTAGTGTTCGTCACGATCAAATAAAATGGCATATTAATAGTTATACAGGGTTTTACATTAATTTATGGATTTACATCTACAGTAATGAATACCCTAAACGTTTCCAAGAAAAAAAACGTGATAGATGTTGCGAGCAAAGATTTACTCTTAAGAATGTTTAATGTTTGTAATGCCTTTTTGTGAAAATTAAACAATATGATTAATATTTAAACGTTAATGTTTTTTATTGATTGTATATTTATACCCTCTCATCATGTTATACATACAACAGTTTGATGGCAAATATACACTCTATTGGTATTAATTGATGTGGTTTTTGGCTTGTATAACAACAGAGTTCATAAATTCCTTGCTGGGACTTTTTGTCGGATAATACATTCTTGTGTTTGTTTATAGTGAATTTGTTTTCTGTTTTGGCTTGACAGTTATCCTTGTACCGTATCTATATTGCAGGTTGGTGTCAATAAGTCGTCTGGTTATTATTTCACTGCAGAAGAAGGTCGTACTGAATGTAGAAATCTGTCTCCATCGCTGCCCTCCTCGAAGCAAAGACCGACAGCGGCTAAATAGATGTTTACATAAGCCTATCTTCCTGTTTTGGAATCAGTGTAATAACATCGGCTGAAGTGGTGGCGCAGTGATTAGTGGACTGCACTATGAACCCAGGGACCTTCATTCGATTCCTGGCCACAGTTAACATCAGTCGGTAACGAATAAAATATATATGAACTGCTCTTGGGGCCCCCTTTTTGACCAGTGAAATATGTCTTCTTTGGTTCTTTCGGTAAAGTCACGTAGAATGAGAATAAAACAACAAATTGATAAAATAAAATAACACAATAATATTCTCACGACGTTTCGGCCACAACACAAGCGGCCTTCATCAGGCGAAGGGAGCGAGACTGTCCGGCAGGACAGCGCCGGAGTGAGAGAGCCACGCCCAGACCACGGCCCCTAAGCTTAGAGTCGCGGCCGTGGTCTGGGCGTGGCTCTCTCACTCCGGCGCTGTCCTGCCGGACAGTCTCGCTCCCTTCGCCTGATGAAGGCCGCTTGTGTTGTGGCCGAAACGTCGTGAGAATATTATTGTGTTATTTTATTTTATCAATTTGTTGTTTTATTCTCATTCTACGTGACTTTACCGAAAGAACCAAAGAAGATGAATCATTGCAGTCACGAAAGCTTTAAATCGAAATTCAGTGAAATATGGTCAAAAATCCAATTGACTAACATGGCCTTGGAAAAAAGTGAATGAACAAAGGCATTTAAATTAAATCTCAACTTTCGTCGTTTAAATTGCTTTGTCGACTTCTAAACATGATGTGTGTGTTCATATTCCCCTCCAACCTAACTGGGTGTATTTATTTAAAAAAAAGTCCCTAAATATCTAATGCGTACAAAAAACATACCTAACAAAATTTGCCTTGCATGAAAAAACGCAGATTCGCACTTGCGTAGCATGCAAGAAAACGTCGTTGTGCATAGCTCCTGATGGTTTATGTGTATAAGGTGCCACGCACATCGGAGGTGTGATTGATCAAGCGTAATTTTTAAGCGTAAGTCGTCAAAAATGTTCCGACTCTTTCACAAGCGACAGCCGTTGCCGTGGTTTGCGCGTGATTGCTGGGGTTATTGTGATTTGCCCCAGGGGATAGAATAAGTTCTATCGCTGAAGAGGTCCGTGTCTGTGTCTTGATGTTCAGCTCGTCCCTCGCTGCCCAACAAAGATTATATTTGTTTTCACCTTTTTATGTTACGTTCTGTAACTGGCTTCATTGCTGCTTGTAATGCAGTGTTGCCATTGACTTGGTAACCTAGTTTGGGCACATTTTTGGGAGAATTTCGTATTTTTAAAAATTTTGGAATACTAACTTTTATTTGCATTTCAGCCTTGGCAGAGATTCCTCCGGCTCCCTTGTGGCTGTGTCACAGTCCTCACTTCTTGTGTTAGAATGATTGCTCCCGTGATTTTCGTGCAGTTAACCGTGTAACTCTTAGCATACCTTAGCTAGCAGTGACAGCTGTGGTCCTGAGTCGTGAGGATTTAAGAGAACTTTAAAAATGAACTACGTTTGAGGGTTAGTAGTATTATGCGCACAGTTATGAATGACATATTTTGCCCGTGGAACGTTACATTGTATAATCCGCGGCGTTGTATTCGAGCGGTACTTCATTCTAATATTGGCACGAGATTACTACTAACACACGTGCTGAACATGTGCCGAGATTGTGTTTTTTTATTTTTCCACGGCTTGTTATCACTGGACATGTGCCCCTTAACATTGACTGACCAAATGCACCCTTCCTTTTATGTTTATGTCAAACACATCTTGGAGCCAGCAGTGTCATTGCTCGCAAATGCACGCCAGTGTCTTCTCCTGTTACTACACTTCTATGCAAATCCAGTAATCATTTATCGGTGTAACCTTCCATGGAATCGATAGTTAATATGGATTCTTAAGCTCTTAATATTGCATTGGATTGCGTGTATGTGATATAAGAGTCAACATTGTTTGTTTTATGTGTATGTTATGTAATCATGGGTTAACATGGCCCGTGCAGCTGCGAGACTGCTACATTCACTGCAATGCTTAAAAAAAATGTTTGAATCCAATTATCAACCGTGAATCGTGACAATTCATAAGAAAGAAAAAAACACACCAGCTGAGTGGATCATTACGCCCATAATCACGTTTGCATGCACTGAGCATAATGTATAGTGCAGGCTGTGTGATATGAAATGCTCATTTGCCTAAGGGGTACCAGCGTTGTGTCTTGGAGTTGCCTCTAATTGGCGCCTGGGGACATTGTTGCAGAAACTGATCGCTACTTGCACTGTTTTGTGGCTTCAGAAAGTTTCCAAGGAGATGTAACCATAACATCATATTTATAGGGTGTGTGTGTGTGAAGAGCCGAGTCAAACCTAAACTATCTAACGGTGTTCTGGATGAATATCTGTGAAAATAATACATATTTGTGTGACCAGTACCATGTTTGTTTACACAATTGGCCTCTTTGGTTTGTGAGTGTGTGCTTCAGGAAATTGTACACCAGCACTGTTAATGAGACCTCCCACAAACTTCTATACAAAGTGTGGTTTGGGGTGGGTTTTCAAAGCTGTTGAAAACGTTTTTTTATAGTTTTTATACAGGTCTATAAATTATGATAAAACCCATCGCAAGGGAAAACAGCTGTTATACGTGCAATGCACATTGTTGTATGTTGTTAAAGCTATGTAAATTCAGAAAAAAAAGAGTGCACAACTTGGAGGACAAATGCATTGTACACTTCGGCTGTGGCTAAAGAAAAAGGCAACTTCATTTCTGGGTGCACAGACTATATTACATGTGGATGAAGACTAACAACGTCGATTCGTAAAGTTTGACCCCAAGGGAGGAGGAGGAAACGTTTATTCAAAACACTCCTTTTAATAGCGGTGTTGTGGCCACATATGTCTTCCCAGTGGCTTGGTGTTACAGCGACTCGCATATTATATTCTTCTACTCCAGTAAGCAAGCACGCACAGTGCTTTGGAAAATTTTCAACATCTTGTGATTTCTCTTGTCTATACAATTTTCCAAGCCTTTAAAAAATTGTCTTCAAATAGTGCCTTAGTTAATTGCCGAACTTTCTATGGCAGTTTGTGTTGCAGATAAACAAGTTTCACTCTGCTCTTAAAAATTAGCTTGTGATATCCTTATTATAGCTTTTTGTGTCTTGTCGCCAAATAACTCGATAGTAGATGTAACAAACTGAGATGTGGAAAATTATACTGGTAGGAACGAAGTTGTAAACTGAGTGTACCAGCCTGCAATAGATTAATGTGTCCGTCCGTCCCCTTTCAATACTTTAACGAAGTGAAATCTCGTGCTGTTGGGTGTAATAAAATTGCGCAAAATTCCAATGTTCCTACCAGCCCACCCTGCAGGGACCTGTTACTACTGTAACAATTGGTCCATGGATACATGCAGTATATCCTTAAGCTAGGCCAGGGTTCGGCAACCAAAATAACATGAAGAGCCATTTTTTTCGAAAACTAAAAAAGCCTCTATTTCAAGAGCCGCAATGCATGTGAATACGAGATGGGTGGTCCTTAATAAATAACGCCACGAAGCAGTCCTTTAAGGGCCACGTGGGCTCCAGAGTCGCAGGTTACCGACCCACTGAGCTCGGCAATATTTTGCTGTAAGAACTTTTCTCATTGAGGCTTTTTACTCAATTGTGATGACCTGGGTGTGTGTACATTTTCAGCGGTTTGCTCACCGCCGTGCCAGAACGGAGGCATGTGCGTGCAGCCCCAGGTGTGTGCCTGTCCTGCTGGCAAGTGGGGGCCGTCCTGCGCAGACAGTAACCCCCAGGCCGCAGCCGCTGGTGCCGGTGGGGTACCCAGCCAGAGTCGCACAGCTTCGCTCTCTCGTACCGCACACATGACCCTCACCGTCAAGCACCAACCGTCTGTGCGGATGGTGCCACACAAGGGCCAGCAACAGTGAGTGTCCTGTGCGTTTTAACTTGTGGGCGCAGTGTTCTAAATAAAACCGTCTCCCCCTTTGTTCTCACTGCCAAAAGTGGTTGCTAAGCACTTGACCTTGGCCGTAACAGGACAGCCCGTTTGTGTTTCATGCGCAAGTTTGTCTGGCCTGTTGCGACCGCCTCCTGTTCCGCCGAATCGTCCATCTTCCATCACAGTGCTTCTATCATGAACTCAATCACAGTGAGCACTTTGTTTTCTGTTTTGTCTGCTTTACATGGGTTGTCCAGCCAAACCTCGTTGAGGTTTTTTTCTTCTTTCTCTGCCAGGTATGCACATACACGGCATGCACTTGTCTCAGCATGCCTGACTAAATGTTTCCTTGGCAGCAGTTCATTGCCTAAATTGGGCAGTCTCGTCGCACCGATGTTGTGTGCACAGCGCAGCTCGCAAGCAGGGTGCGGCTGCAGTACCTCCAGAAGTGCTTTCAATAATAACAGTTTGAGAAAAAATACTGCATGCTTAATTTGGGTCATACAGCAGAGACAACTGGCTAGCACGTCCCCTACTGAAATGAAGGATTATAGTCGATGTATTTCTGTCCGCTTTCTAAAAATACTTCAAACTATCACAGGACACTTTTATTTCTGTGTAAACGTTCATCTTCATTTAAAAAACAAGAAAACATCCTTAAGAAATTGCCAGTTCGGAATGTTGACCAAACTGCAGTAGAATGAAAAATATTTAATGTGTTGGATATTAATTTCAGTCTAGATTTGAAGTTTTCGTGACTGCAGGGATCCGTACTCTTTAGTTCTTTCGGTAAAGTCACGTAGGTATAAAATAAAATTTATAACATTTATTTTATTTTATAAAATAAAATGCATTTTATAAAAATAAAATACAATTTTATACATTTTATTTTCTTTTATACCAGCATGACTTTACCGAAAGAACCAAAGGATATTAATTTGTGAAACAAATACTTAGATTTATTTGGTTTACTAAAAAAAACACATCCATGAGAGTTGTCATTCATTTTTATTTCCTTAATTTTGTACAGCACAACGCATTTGACTGGATTACCAGCACTTAAACATTGCTTGAGTTGCTGTCTGAAGTGGTTTGGCTTGGCTGCACGTTAGTTAATTCGTTCGCTTGCTCGCTCTGCGATTGGAGTATAATTTTGCGGTCATGCCGTGGATCGGGGGACCGATGCTCAGTGGCAGCAACTGACGTCATGCAGGTCTGAGAGTAATTAGAGGCCCCTTCGGGTGGACGTTGCTAAAGTTGCTGAAGTTTTTACTTGAACGCACATGAAGCACTCTCGTTATTTCTTTCACCTTCGTGACATTTACGTCTAATTTTGCATTCTTTGTTAGCGTGTTCTTGTCGACGACATTGATCTTGCCCAAACGGTCTGGTCATTTTCCATCATGGTTGCATAGTTTTTTGAGTCTGAAGCCAAATGTCAAGACAGACACGTGTGTTTTAGTCCATTTAAACAGGCACTGGGTTACAAACGTGTAAGGTTACCATGAATAAAACTGCTCGTTAGTGGAATTGGCACACTTAATTTGTATAGATGACTGGCATAACAACAAAAACATTTGTTTTAATCCACATATAACGGTGTAAGTTAAAGCAACTTTTGTTTGTATATGATGCACGGTCCAAAAAATGACATGCGCATTCCAAGTTTGAGCAGTCATTTTTGATGGTTTCACAGAACTAGTTTGCACTGTGTATGGCAGGTCACACTCAATGCAGTCTGCGCCACTTAGCATGGCCATGCAACGTCGGACATCCCAACCACTCCTGCTCAAGCCTAAGGTCTTCAGCCACCAGCTCGTGTCGGCCAGTGGAGGACGTCCTGCCCATCCCGGCCCCAACGCCTTGCCCTCGGGGCACAGCCAGCATGGGCTTCTCAGCTCTGAACATGTGCCTTATGGTGGGTCTCCAATGTTGGGGTCGTACAAATGCTGAAAATGCCACAAAAATATGTGACCGTTGCAATCACGCTGTAACTTGACTTGTTAAAAAGGGAGATTAAGGGTGGTATATGTGCAAAGATGTACGTGACTCTTCACAAGTTTATGAACCTTAAACCTTCTCTGTCAATGGAGAAACATTGTTTTTGGTTCATTTACACGTTCACTGGGTTACAAATATTTTGCAACACTTTCCCCTAGCTGTGGATATCAGACACAAACAACGAACAATCACATGGGTATTTCAGCAGAAGGCCTATTTTTTTTCCATGGTGGTAATTATAATGATTGTTATATAGCAGCCATGTCTAGCTTGTTCGAGTGATTGGTTACGAGCGACAGGAAGCTTTCGTTTTGGCACCGGGCATGGTGCCGATGCTGAGAAAACCAACCGGAGGGGAGATTTAATTCACCATTATAGAGCCAAGGCATGTGAATCTGCTCCATAATTCCTTTAGCAAATTGGCACAAAATATGGGTAGTGACTAGTAAAATAAAGTAACCGTTATATAAGATGAAGATTTTCGATTAAAAATAAATATTTCGTTTTAAACAGAAGATACCTGGGGAGAAAACACACGATGTAGATGAATTGGAACACGCATTGTAACAATTCAAGGCAGTAAAATGTTTAAAAAAATGTATTGAAGATTTTAGTTTACTGGTTTTCATATTTATGGTCAAGGCGGTGCTCTTGTGTAGCATTCTTGGTAAATACGGATGTATTAAAACCTAAAAAACAATTCCCGTTACAGTCTCATGCAGGAAAAAAAACATTTGACTGCTCTGGCTGGCTTTGTGAATTCACATTTACGTGTGATATTTTATGTTGGTTCAATGCAAGTTCTGACGAGGAAACTGCAGTAAGTTGTTTTTACAGTGCGATCCATCCGGTGTATCTTCATCATTTACAGATGGGTGCTCGCTATCGTGTTTGCATGTATACATAGGGAGTTCACACTATTTGACCATGAAAATCTGCATTGTCAAAACCCTTCTCCCTGCTGAATTCTCGATCAAATCTTTGTGCTAACAATTTACACGTCCGTTATGGTAGAGTGGTAGCGTGTTTTTTAATGGCTTCATGTGAGAGAGATCGAAGGAGGTTGGCATCCCTGCGTTCCTCTTCTCCCGCTGTGTTGAGTTGTGACGTGAGATTTTTTTTTCGTCGTGGTGGAGGGGGGCATGTACATCGCACTCATTTGCAGAGGCCGGCGGATGGAACCGTGCCAAACAAACCTCACAGGACGCCCCTCGGCAGCCCGGGGTGATGGCCGACCAGTGCTGTTTTGTTTTTCTGCATGAAGCTCAGTTCAGTGTGTGCACTGCAGGAAGGGAAACCTTTTATTTTGTAAAATGAAAACAACTTGAACAAGCTGCACGCTGAGAATAGTGTGCAGGAGAAAGCTTAATTGGAACGCTTTCCACTGGGCACACTGTCTCCTGAGAACGCAGCAACAACAACCTCGTGCTGTTGTTGCTAGTCTTGGTGTGTAGTTTCCTCCACATGCCCCTCCCCTAGGCTCCCCAACCCTTCTGCTACATTCCCTACATCATTCGTCACAAATAAAATGCAGCTTTGTGATTACTTACCCTGCCCGGAGTCCGATCTCCCTTCATACGTGGTATTTGGAGTGTGGCCCTAGCCATTCCATAAGCAGGACGTTCCACCATCCGCCCCTCCTCCCTGCTGCCACACACACCCTCAACACCCCCCCCTTCTCTCCCTTGCGGTTCCAGCCTCATTTAGTCCACGACGCAGCTGGATGGCTGTCAGACGCTCGGCCGTAAGCGGCTAAGCCTGCCCAGCTCTGCGCCTCTGCACTGTTGCCTGCCTGCGATGGGGAGCGCGCGAATGGGCACCACGTACCGCCCGGTCGCGGCCGGTGCTGCCGCAGCCGCCACCCTGTGCGCCCTCATGCTGTTCTTCCCCTCTCTCGCAGCCGGCAACCTGAGCGCGAGCGGATCGATGGGGCGCATCAAGGTGGTCTTCACGCCCACCATCTGCAAGGTGACGTGCACCAACGGGAAGTGCCAGAATACCTGCGAGAAGGGCAACACGACAACGCTGATCAGCGAGAACGGCGAGGGGGCTGACATGCTGACGGGCTCCGGGTTCCGCGTCGGTGAGTCGTGCGCTCGTCCGCTGCTCCTGAGTTGACCGTAACTGCTGCGAAATGTCGCGATTCAAACAAGAATCTGTTTCTCTATCTTCTTTGTCCCGTCATGCTTGGAATGGACAGAATGGTAAATATGGATCCATTTTCTTGAATTTGTTAAGTATTGTCTATTGTCTTGTAATTTCATGTTTGAACTTTATTTTAAAAAAAAAATGTTGCCCTATATTTTCAAAGTGATTATGAGAGAGTTAAGAAAGAAATGTTAAAACTCACTTTATGGAAGTGTGAGAACAGCATTATTTTTATATGAAGTTTGTCCTTGGGTAATAATGGCACAGCGTTGTTTTTGTAATTCTGGCAGAGGTACAATGCATCAATTTAAGTGTCAGAGTTAGGTATATTAAGTTTCCGCTTTATTGTTTCCAAGAAGAACAAGAATTATTTTCACTTACGTTGGGAAACGATGGTCCGCGTATGCTGGCCAAATTGTGATTACTCAAGTGGGACCAACCAACATGAATTGACCAGGCTCCATATCATTCATTAAAAATCAATCGGCAATTTATTGCACATTTGCTTGAATGGAAGGGCACGGCCTCCTGCCCATTTGTATAACTGAGCGAGCTATGACCTGTTCACAGGAAGCTGGCGTGTGGCTCATTTCAATAAGCAAGCAGGAAAAAGAGAGCCCATTCACTTGTTGCGCTGTTACACTTTACTTGAGCTGCACATAAAATGAGTCAATGTCTTCTTGAGTCATGGCCCAGCCATGATCCTACTTAGAAAAGAGCAATGGTTTTTGGCCGGACATGGGCATGCAGTCTCTAGAGTTTCCCTCCAGCAAGCCGGCGGCATGAACTTGCGCTGTGGCCAATGTAAACAGCTGAGAGCCATCACTAGGCACCACGACAGCTCTTGTGTACAAATGTTTTTCAAGAATGAGCACAAGTTATTTACATTTGCCAAGATCGCATTTGTATTATACATAAAGCAGTATACAAATTATATGAAGCTGTGTTTGGCACTCATGCCTTCATGGTGCAGGCTAAAATTAAAAAAAAAATGTTTTCTTAGTCAATGTATTGATTGATGTTCTAAAGTTCAACGTGTTAGTGTGTTTTAATGTAATGCTAAAAATAGCTAAATATTAAAATTACAGTGTACATTTTTGCTGGCATATAAATAGTAGAGTCTGAAACTATGCGACCTAGTCAAAGCAAAGGGGAAGTTTGAGCCTTTGACCAACTCTTGTTCAATTCATTACTCACGTTGCAATTACAAAACACAAGCAGTGTATGTGGTCGCAGCTACATTGGCACTCTCACACTTGTTTGGAGAAGAAAAATCATTACTGTTGCATTTATCAAAGCTGTCACCGGGCATGTATAAACAGTATAAGGAATTTAAATATGCCAGATTTAAAAATAATATGGGAGTCCGAAGAAAAAAGTGCCTTCCTGCATCCATCCAACAGTGGCATTTATAACTGCCGAGTTATCGCTATCACAGTTGAACATTTATATAGCTAACTTTTGTTGTATTTTACATATCTTAGTCATACTTAAAAACAAAGCGCCATGTCACACTGAACGCTACAGTGATTTGGCTGTTGAACTTGTCCATTTATCAAGGCATTTATCAAATGACTCAATTGACCAATGCCCCAGGTCACGCTTGCGAATTAGACGAATCCCGTCTCTCTTTAGTTTCCACCTGGTTCAAACAAAACATACTTGAAACTTGAATGCCATTTACTCCAGTCATTCTGTTCCACCCCCCATGCCAGGGGTTGGGTAGACCGACGTGTTGGTTTAGTGACGTTACTCAGAAATCCCCACTGGGGAAAACGAATACACATTGCGTAAGAAAGACTGGGTCCAGCCCTGGAAGGGGGGCGCAGCGCTACTGATCGGCAGTGTATGTGCAGTGCTTCAGCTATGGAGAGCCCAGTAGTGGGATGAGGCCAATGTGACACAGTATGCTGCACCATGGACGCGACTCTTGGGTACGAATAAAAACAAACAACGCAAAAGAACAAATTAAGTCATTCTTAAACAGCAGGGGGGGGGGGCAGAGGAAGAAGGGTAGCTAATCGCTCGCATTAAGAAGGGATATGACACATTACATTGTTTTAAATGCTATGTTAGTATTGTTTTTGCTTTTCTCCCCAAATTCATTAATATCCGATGCAAAACTCTCACAGCAGCAGAGTTTGGCCCTGGAATGTACTGTTGCAGAACGCATGACGTTGCTTCAATAAGCCTATTTATCTGCACTAGCGGCACAACTTTTAGTCTCCCCCCCCCCCCCCCTTTCAAAGTGTTGTCACATGTTAATCAAACAATTGTTTTTAGATTCTCATAGCTGGAATTAGGAAAATCAAGTTATATAATGGGGGGGGTAGGTGAGGGGGGGGGTTTCTTCAGCCGTTAGTGATTGTGATGAGACCATCAACTAGCCACATTTGGGAAACCAGTTTAATAACGGGCGACTGCCCAGATTTTGACCAGGATCACAGTGGTGTCGGCACGTCGCCTTATTAACACATGGCATTAGCCCCCTGAGCCACCCAGCCATCTCTTTTTAGAAACGCAAGTGGCCATAACCGTTTACTTGAGACATGTGTTGTATTATTATACTGTTGGTATAGTTTAATAGCTTAATCAGAAAAAAAACCCCAACCTTTCTTATATATGTGTACATATATATGTGCATTTTCTTGCATTGAAATGGTTTACCGTAAGTGCTTGAAAAAACGCAACTTTTTAATCGTCAACTGCAAATTCAATTAAGAACGTGGGTGGTGGCACCTTTGAAAGAGTCTGCACCTCTGTTGTTGCTCGTAAAGCTCATTCCTCACCTGTCCTTGTAATCGTGAATGGATTTCAAGGCTGGGGTGAGTGCATTGGTGAGGCTGCAGTGCTATTGCTGCTGCTGGCGTTAACGGTGAGATGTTACCTACCTTGCCTGGTATGCAAGAGGTGTAATGGGTTCGATCCCAACCCTTGACGCCTGTATATTTGGAGTTTTCTTGTTCTACCTGTGGTTGCATGGATTTTTTTCCAGGTCCTCTGGGTTTTCCCTCCACATTTAGAAACATGCATTTGGAGTATTTGGCTGCTTTACATTTTCACATGATAAGTCGCTGTTCGTTGGGCTATCATTTGTGGCCAGGCCACTTCTGACAAATATATATTTTGCTCAGTGGGCCTTACCTGGTAAAACAATTTTTTTTTTTTAGTTTCAGTTTAACGTCAAAGCAGGGGAAGCTGCGCTGACTGGGCTCTGTTGCTCCACACTTCCCGTTGCCTTGTCCTCAAATACTCTCTCGCCTTCACCTTTCTCCTCAAATTCCAGTGAATTGAATGCTCTGCAGTGGCCCCCTTTTTCATATACATCTCATAGAATGCAATGGCACACTCTCTTTATTAAAAATACACTTTTTTGATCACATGCCGTCTTTGTTATGAGGTCATGATTTACATGATTTGCTTCATTATTAGCACTCTATGGTATGACATGACCAATATATTACAACTAAGCATTGAGGGTCATCATGTGTTATACTGCAGTGACTTTAGGTCAATACTGTTATGTCCCTTTCTGCAACGTGCAACTCAGATGGCAGCTAAAACATTTGGTTTCATAAACAAAAATACCGGCTTAACCTTGTACTGTACAGTAACTGTTTCGCTGTAGCATGCCGATGCAATAGTCCATAACGTTTACAGCATGTCGTCAGCTTTTAATAATTCGAACACGAACTTCAAATGAATCATCACAGGAATCATTATTTTATTTTTTACAAAATTAGGGACATTGCCAGACACCTGTGCTAGAATCATATTCTGATTTCATTGGGATAATTGAATGGAATACTTCATCACGTGTACGTGGCCCTCACAACCACGTTTCAGATTGCACTCGTGGTTTCACCAAAATTTAAACACGGAACAGTTGAGTGTGTGGTTAATCAGGCTCTTCATCTCTGGGTTTTTGCCGATTGTTTAAACATTTGAGTTGGCCGTACTCCTGTTCTTTGCTCTCGTTTCCCGTTCCCCTCCCAGTGTTGAAGCTGCCTTTTTTGAATGGCTGCTTTCTTGTTGCATGTGCTGGACCTTCAAATCTTTCCATGTGCTGCAGGCGGTGTAAACAGGACTATGTAATAGCATCCCCGTGGAGCCCAGTCGTGCTACAATGTAATGCATGTAACTATTTGCAGGAGGCTTTTTCAAATGGGCAACGTTAAAACATATTTCTCTCCTTTTTTATTTTCATGGTTTGAGGTGGCTCTTCCAACACATGCTGTTCAAAACAAGACACGGACGTGTGTAAAAAAAAGCACACATCTAGGTGTGCGTATACAATAAAACAACCCATCAGCTTCTGAAGAAGTCCATTGTGGCTCTCTTATCTCATTGCACCATCAAAATTAAATTGACCAAATGTTACCAACCAGATAGCAGCAGCTATGCAGTGATAGACAGCTGTGGGTGGGTTTAATCATAATTAGGACTCATCAACACGGTATAGTCCCCAGTGCTCACTGCTGCAAAGTCTACCTCCGGTTTTCCGGCCTGCACCATTACTCCATTACGATTGTTTTTTTTATCTTGGTCATATACAGATTTGATCACATGTTGTTTGTGGCTAAATAAGAAATGCCCCACTTTTTTAAAACACAGGTCTCATGCTACTTAAATGGTTCTTCGTTTGCAGTGAAGTCCAATGCTCATTTTGAACATGTACACTTTTTAAATATTACATAAACCATTTCGGTAGCATAATTACCGTTGTTGTGCAATAGAAAATGTGGGAACCCATTGCAGTGGGAGCTTGTGTCTCAAGTTTGATAGTGTTACAAAGTTTTCAAGTTCTCGGTGACACGTGCAGGCGGTTTAACAGATAATAGTTATGCAGAGGAATGTGTTATACACCAGTGCTGGCCGTCACTAAACTAGTTGTTTTGAAAAGTTTCTTGTAAATCATTCATGTTTTTTCCTTTGTCAGTCCACTGCTGGATTAGGGTCTCTCCACATCGTGATGATTATTTGACTAACCACCGTGGTTAGTACGCGTTGGTGAAGGTGGGGGAGACATACATGTGGTAGCATAGTGTAATACAATTTATTTTTCTGCACTGGCTTCTTCTTTACACAACGTAGCCTTGCAGTAGCCTATAACACTTTATGCAGTATGGTCACCCATCCAAGCACCATCCATGCTCAAGCCTGCTTATACGCCCAGATCTGGTGAGATCGGGTGCATTTTGAGTCATTTGGGTGATAGGCTCTTACCAAAGTAGTTTTGTAGCCCTTCATGCCAGAACCACTTGCGTTTGTTGCTGCTGTTGATGTGATGGGAAAAAAATGTGAGCACTGGCCACCCCTTGCTTGTACCCCCACACAGTGGTGTGTCCCATCCCGTGCCGGAACGGAGGCAGCTGTCAGACGCGGGATAAGTGCCGCTGCCCGGCGAACTTCACGGGGAAGTTCTGTCAAATCGCCGTGCAGTCGCCCAGGGCCTCCGAGGAGCAGGGGGCAGTGGCGGGCAGCCAGGGCTTGTCGCTCACTCGCTCGACCTTCACCATCCCCGTGTCGGGGGTGCACGCCGGAGCTGCTACCCACGGTACCGTCCACCTGCGCCTGACCCGCCTGCGTTTGGACGCGTACCGTTTCCCCTTTGCGCATCACGATCCCCACCGCGGTCGCCAACGCCACCCCCACGTGGTGGGCGGAACGCGCGCCAGCCCGCTATACCGCGGCGTGGGGCCCCTTGCTCGTGTGAGGCCCACTCCCCCCCACGCGGCCACCACCAAGCAACAGCCCGCCCACCGCCATCACGTCTACCGGTACTATCCCAGCAGCCTGGACAGCGAGCTTGCCTGAGAACCTCGTTGGCTGTTACTAAACGTGGGAGGTTTTTTTTTTTTTAAAGGATATATGTCGATTTAATTGCATACATAACAACGCAACAATATAAACATAAAAGGGTGATGTTTTCGTGTAAACTTTGGTGTTGCTTTTTCATTTTACAAGTTCTATGGACAGCCACGTGGTAATATGGTTATTGATGTGTGAATCATTTAATGTGGGTTATATTTGTTGGTATCGATCATGAGGCATGCTTGTGAGTTTAATATTTGTTCATGAAATGCCCTATGCCTGCATGACTCGTAGTATTATAATTATACAAGATAGTGTGGTGTTAAACATATTAAACATGTTTTAAATCTTGGGTTGCATGTAATAAAGAATTGTTTTTGCAAATATTTAAGCGAAGATGTAAGTAAGATCTTTATTTTTTTGTAACAATATGCTTGAGGCTTACTTGCTTACAACAATATACAGAACAATGAGATCTGTGTCTCATCGCATTAATTTTAGGCCCATGGCATTTCAGACCCCTGTAAAGTAGCATACATTCAAGTATTTGAAAAACATCAAGTTCTCCAAAAAATACTCAAACAAAGAGCAGAACAATACCTTTAAAATCTCTTAATGCTGCATCACATTTTAACCACCGGGAACCCATTTTGTTTATACATCTTCACCACTGCTCCACAGAGCACGATGGTTCTTAACATCATTAATTTTCATTAATACCAGGGGAACCTGTTTGCCTTTTAAAAATGAATCCAGTGAAAGGCATAGCCAACCTGTTGAAGGATTGGCAGCTAAATTAATCCTGACTAGCTTGTATATCAATAGCTCGGCATCTTTTTAATTTCCTTTCTTTGTTGGCTAGTCTTTTGAAAATTTGATTTGTGGATTTGATGTTGGTGCCATTTTCATTAAAATCTTCTGTAATGTTAGAGGCATGTGCTGACCATTCCAAGGGACACATTTTCCACCCCCCCCACCCCCCAGCTGTCCAATGGTCAAAGAAAGTTGGCAATGATATGATTTATCTGAACTTAGAGCCCAATGATAAATTAACCACCACAAAATCCAATAAAATGTGGTCACAGTGAAAACCTTAGAATGATAAACCACATCACAGTTATTGATGACGTGGTTAGGTAAAGCACAGGGGACAAGGCTGGCGAGCCTGAGCACCATGTCTTCAGAGACCCAGGATGCACTGGTGGTGGTCCAGCAGCTGCATTGTTTGAGGCCGCCACTGGCAGTGGAGACAGCAAAGAGCACTCCATGGCTGTGCATGCATGGTTCTTAAAACCTGAGCCTCCTTTCATTGGCAGAGCTCTTATGGTATTATTTGAAGTAAAGTTTGCAATCGTTACTACATTGCATAGAGTAGGGTTTATTAAAATAATGTGGTATGATAATAAAAACATTTACAAGTCTATAAATGATAATTATATATCAAAGCTTTTTTATTTTTAGACTATGCATAATAATCAACATGCATCACACTTTTTTTTCTATGAAGCAATAAAATCCACTGAGGAATTTAACCTCAAGAGAATTTACCGCTTCAATGAAGAGGCTTGTCATTGGGAAATTTATTGGCCTCTGATTTATGGTCTTCTAGCTATGGAAGGCAGTAACATATCACATTTTGTTTGACAATAATCATATATATTATTTATACCGCTTATGTGTCATATATAATGTTGTGGTTATTATTTACATTTTGAAGTAAATGAAGTGTCAGGTTAGGAATTATTTCCAATTAGAGAAAGCATTTTTTCCTATGGCCTATTTTCAGCATCGTGCATTTATAACCCAGCACTGTGATTGCTATTCATGCTTGCTATGCGGTGTGTGTGTGTCGCCGTGACTTAGACCTTTGACCTAGAACTTTGCCCTGTGTTTTGCAGTGAAGATATCGCCGAGTGTAGCGAACGTGCACGTGCGGCACCCGCAGGCGGCCTCCGTGCAGGTGCACCAGGTGTCGCGCGTCGAGGGGTCTCTGCAGACGGGCCCAGGCCATCATTACAAGCGGGACCACCAGCACCACAGTCACAGCCAAAGTCACAGCCAAAGCCACAGCCAAAGTCACAGCCAAAGTCACAGCCAAAGTCACAGCCAAAGCCACAGCCACGGGCAGATTCCGCACCATTCGCAGTTGCAGCAGCAGCAACAGCAGACGTACACCTACCCGATACAGCAGCCTGCGTCCCAGCCCAGGCCTCAGCCCAAGCCGCTTGGCCGCTGCTTCCAGGAGACCAACCCAGGGCAGCAGGTGTGCGCTGTTGTATGTTTGTGTGCCAACGTGTGTACGTTGTTGTGTTTGTTTATTTTTCGGGCATTTTTAATATGTGCATCTGCATGCAGATTCAGGCCATCTTGTATATTGTACAATTGCAGCAGCGAAATCGGCAACCGTAACCACATACGGGCACAGGTGGAAAATAAAATGTACAATTACTCGAAACACCACTTTTTTTTTCCCCTCTGTTATTTTGCCAAAGACCTCCTCCCCCCACTGAGATGGTTTTGCTTTATTCCAGTGCGGCAAACCACTGCCGGGACTCCTCAAGCAGGAGGACTGCTGCGGTAGTGTGGGCAGCTCCTGGGGCTTCAATAAGTGCAGCAAGTGTCCAGCCACAGCCGGTGAGCTCCTCCCCCGCGCTGGTGCAGACCTGCCCAGCCGCTGTCCTCTCCATCCTACTCGTCCTTGTTCACCAACTGTGCAAAACCACACCAATGTGTGCTTTTCGTCAGTATGTTCAATGTATGGTGGGCTGCACATGTTTTGTCATGTTTTGTCAAGCAGTGACATGGTATTATCTGTCATTTATTATACTTAGTGCTGCTTGTTGCTAACCACTTGGCACTTTGCATTTGATTTGAATTGTGCTCACCACACAGACGAGAGTTTGTGATTATCGGAGGTGTGACAGAAGTTTGGAGGGGATGGTGCACCTTACTTTATTCGCAAGCAGAACATTAAATTGATGTCCTTTGCACATTCTGTCGAACACAAACATTTTCAATGTACATCTCCAGCTCAAGTCTTGAGCCTTACCTGTTCATACTCCAGTTGTGTTTATGTAACAGCGCTTTCATAAGTGTACACTTTTGTTCAAAAGGCTTTTTAGAGAAATGGTAAAACATTTTTTAAACAAACCCTTGCTTTTCATACTCAAAAGCCTCCCTTTTTGTACAAAGGAAAACATTTTCTTAAACAATTACTCGCATTCATTTCAGTTAAATGCTGTATTCTTATTTATAAGTCAGAAGGTTTTATTCAATCATAAATGCAACACTTTTCTCTTAGCAGCTATAGATGAAAATGTTTATCCCATGCCAAGTATATGTTGGGAATTTTGCACGTTTCTTTCCGACTGTTTTTTCACATGTCTGGACCTGCCTTTCTGTGAGTTCACCTGCACAATGCACGTGTGGAATTCAGACAAAATTTTGGCTTCAAATACAGGATTTTTTAAAGCTACCTCTAAAGTGTTACTCCATATCATATCATAAACAACCTCACTGTAGGTCTTGCACCCTTTCTTGCGTATTGCCACAATATAGGACTGACACACAAGAGGGCTCACATATTACATACCTGTCCATGCATAGCTTTGCAAATGGAAAATATGGTGAGAGTTGTATCAACAACACATGTTTAAATTCAACAAGTGGGACCGCCCTTGCAGCCAAGTTTGTCCACACGAAGTGCACCATGCCACACACAGTAACTACCTCGCTTGGTATGCAGAATGTTGCGGGTTGGATCCCGACCCTGAAGCCTGTATATTTGGGGTTTGCATGTTATCCCCGTGGTCGCGTGGATTTTTCTCCGGGCCCTTCGGTTTTCCCTCCATATTTATAAACATGCGTTTGTATTTGGCCGCTATAAATGTCCACGTGAAAAGCCACTTTGTTGGGCTTTGATTTGTGGCCAGATCGTTTCTGAAAAAGAGCTATACAGTAAGAAAAAAATAGTAAAAGACTTTCAGCTGGTAGCTTCATGTCAGGTCCATGGCACACCAGGTCCGATGTTTAATTCCTAGGTGCACACTCCATACCACTCTGGGTGCGACCCTTCCTTTTTATAAAAAAAAATAATCTTCACATTAGATTTTTGCAGTACACAAGAACAAAGGCCATTCTGCAGAATGTTGAGCGACAAAAAAACACAACCCCACGTGATTATCCGCCAGGCCCATGTACCCGACGAGTCTTGGTTGATGAGAGGTGGGGGGGGGCGACACACAACCCAGGGAGGTACGAAGCTTTCTTAAATGGTAGTCTCGGCAAACACATGTCAAGTGTCGAGTGGTCCAAGTGTTTCAAAGGCAGAATATTAAACATGAACAGCGGGCGAACACTCAAAAATGTTATAGACAGTCATTTTATCAGTGCTCATCGATATTTTGACACAATTGACCCTGTGGTTTGGCTACTGTAACTTGTGAAAGCATTTTAGCAGTATTTAGCCATACATCATGACATGAATGTCACTCCATACAGAATGTAGCTTTATGAAAACGATACGGGGGGATATGGATTGGGTGGTGCAATGATTCATGCAGTGTCCCTGGCTACCTGCGTTTGACTCTTGGCCACGACTAACTTCAGTGGTGAGTAATATGTGGCCTGGTCCCCGGGCCTTTCCCCCCTTCATGCTCACCCATACTGCTCAGTCGTGTAGTGTGGTCAAACAATCCCCTTTGACTGATGAAGCAATGGGAGGCCCTCATCCAGCAGTTTTCACTCTTTCGGTGTTTCTGTATCCGTGGTATGTATGGCTGGAGACCAGTTATCAGTTGCATAAAATACCTGACTACTTTCCCCTTTGTCGGTTTTATTCAACAATGTAACCTCGGTATGCTTGACTGCAGAACGTTCAGGGTAATAGCATATGTAAGCAGAACTTAGTTCTGTGTTTCCACAAATAAATCATTAAAACGTATATACATGTGTAGATACATCTTTTTATTTTATTTTATTTTCACGTGGAGACAAAACGGGATTCTACTTACGACTTTTATTTGTATTAATTACATGTGCTTTCATAAAACAGAGTGGGCACTATTACATATATGTATAGAGATTATGAAACACGCAGCTGAGCTAACTAACCGGTGCCTAAGCACGTGGATATACTGTGCGAGGCCGTACTGATGGACTGCCTCGGCGTTGGTGTCCCGTGGCTGTGTGGGCCACTGTCATCCGTGTTTGGGCACTTCTTGGATCACCCGCACGTGAATGCTATCCGGTGGAGAGTTTGTGTCACTCGTGAGAGGAGGATTGTGTGTGAATGTGTGTCATGTACGGCAATCGGCCAGTGCTGGCGGTAAGCCACGGTCGCTTAACGTTGCCACTGCAGATGATTTATGGAGAAGGAATCCACAAGCAGGTTGCACGACGAACAACTCTATTACAGCTTTACATTTGGTTCTCATTTCTTGTACTTGTGTTTTTACAGTGATGATCTTATAAAGTAACGTTACGTGTGTTATCCCCCCGTAGAGATGGATAGGCATATGGAAGTTGTGTTTGATGCTTACCTGCCAGCCGGTCGTTGCCTTGGTGTGATGTGCACAATTTGATTATGTGTCTCGCGTGGACATTTTTAGAGAGGCGGCCAAATTTCCCTGTGTCGAGGGGTGGTGGGCCAAGCCCTTGGATTGGCAGCACGATGACAGCCAGAGTTGTCTTGCAGTTCCATCCAGACCACAGCAAGGGATGTCGTCTTGTCAGGAAGCCAGGTCTGGTGCGAAGAAAGGGTTGGGACGGAGGTGCTGGAGGGGGAGGGCTCTTATTATGTTTCCCATTTCATCAGAGCGTTTTTTATGCCCTTGTTTATGGCTAACAAGCGCCAGCAGTATTTATATACACTCGTAAAGATATGCGGTCATTCTTGCGTGCGTTCGATTGCCAACAGATAAACCCGTGTTCGGTTTATGAGCCAAGCTGGACGGCCGCCGGGCCATATGTGGCAGAATTGCAGTTTAACATTAAAAACAGACATGGTTTGCGCGCGCATAAACAACAGCTGGAACAGAGACACATGCTTTTCATTTAGAAACATAAAGTTGTCGTTGTCTGTCATATATTTACTTTGTTTAAAGAGTCGAGGCTGGCAGGAGTTACGGCCAATTCTATTTGGTAATTGAATATCGCTAAGAAATGAAAGCATTGGCATACGCGCGTGTCGCCTGCATAGATGAATCGCAAAGGAATTTAGTTTGACAAGGTCTCGCTGTTTACACAACATGTGTAGAGCGTCTAAAATAATGCTTTCATATACTGTACAGGGCTAGGTGGGCAACGCGGGGAGATCCAATGGTAATGAATTACTTATCGGGGGTTTGTTCCCTGTACAAATATTGTTAAAGATTACGTTTTTGAGCCAAATCTTAGCGGTTGCAAATGCACCCATATTTGTCCAAATTAATTCTGTGATATTAAAACGGGGCTTGTATGTACGCTGGGTTATTGCATATGATATAACCGATAAGCAGCACTGAGGCTAATAAGTCAAATGATCAGATCAATCATGTTTTTAGTAAGTTTGATCTTGTTTGCATAAACTACCTATCTTAAGCTCTTAAAAGACATTTCCTTCTTAGAAGTTCGTTGAGTGGCCGAGTAGGAGTTGCAAGGACAAATATATATGTTACATGTCAAAACTAGTCCAGAGTTTGCTTGTACTTAATCGATGCCGCTAAAATTATGCAGCCCCAGAAGACCATGGGCTGTGTAAAAAATATTTTTGTTATTCTGTGGGGAGATGGATATGTGAAGGAGACATTGTCTGCTTTAACTCCTTTGCTCCTTATATTTTTCCAACGACGCGATTTTATTATTTTTTGACATGCACACAGATAATTATCTGCATATTATTATGAAGAAATGGCACATCAATATTGTTTTAGTCATTGTCATTGCAAGGTTTGAACTTTGGCACCAGTATGCAATGGAACAATTTTACAACAAATGGCACAGAGTATTGTTCACTTTACAGGAGATGACGCACTTTTTTTAATTCCCCCACAGTCATTTACAGCGACAGTGGTTCGATTGAACTTCAGTTTTCAAACTGGAACCATCTATAAACGCAACAAGCTACATACAATACAGCACTAAGGTTCCAGCATGTGCTGTATTTCATATTGTTTAGCGAAGCTAGTTAATACATTAATTTATCCCATTTATGATTTATTATGATACAAAATACTGTACTTTAATCTATCCTTGATCAGGAGTAGTTTCACTTTTTTCCCAGTTTCCACCAAATCCCCTTTCATAGTTTACATAAGCTGGGCATGATATTAGCTGATATTCATTGGTCTTATCTATCATTTGATTGATTGTATATATGAGGTCAATAGTACAAACACATTTTCTGAAACCAGGTTAATCTTTAGGGGAGATTGTTCCCTCAATCGATCATTGTTAAATTCTCGACTATCTTCATGAACCATCTATATATATGTGTTATGAGGCGAAGGGTTCTGCAGTTCTTAAAATCAGTTTTGTCTCTGGGCTTCAATGTCATATATTTAATGTCTGCTTGTATACATTTAGAAAATAGGTCCACTCATTTTGATTCGACGGCTGCTTTGTCTTCTCTGACGGTGGCCACAGTTAAGAGGTTAATGATGCCCGCAAGATTCAACGGAAGTATATAGGTTCCTATGGAGTTGGGAGTGGGTTCTTTTGGTAGCGGTGCTGACGGGCGTGAAAAACTGCTTGACTTTTCTATCAAAGTAAATGTGATTCATGAACCCTGGAGAGCTGAGAAAAAATTAAATCCTCATCAAATTATGGCTCCACAAGGATAACTCCAACTCAATCGTGTGATTCATGAAGCGTGTGTTTTTTTATATATACATGGCACTGCTATGAAGTTATCCTGCAACGATTTTCCAACGTTTGCATTCCAGAATCTCAAAGAGAATGCAAAGAAAAGATGAATGTTTTATGATAAGTACCCACTTGCCTCAAACCTGCATAATTTTCCACGAGGAATCTGCCACCATCATCCTGCATTCCCAAATGACAGAAACAAGTGCCTCTATCTGCCTTTCCTGTTGAAATGGTGTCGAGATGACGTTCAATAACAACTCGTCCGCTTTACCGAATGCCGAGTTGCACACTTACCTTGGACCTTTCCAGAGGAGGAGAAGTTTTCGTCCAGGAGTCATAGCCAGAGAGTGATGCTCCCAAGTCCACAGCACTTTTTCGGCTCGGACTTGTGCAGCGTTCGCACCCTCTTCATTGAAGGCCATCCTAAAATGTGCGCCGCCTTTCTCTTCTGTGAGCTTTTACGTTTGGGATTAGCGCAGCTCCGCCGTACACATGCCCTAAAAGAAAACGAGCCGAGTTTTGACTTGCTTCGTCACGTGCTGTCACAGTCTCAAACCTATTGCTCCGTAGCGCACCTCCTCGTGATAAGGTAACTCGGAGCATTCCAGTGTGTTGTGGGATCATCTCTGAGTCATCCGTCTCCTGTCAGGTACACACAGTGCGCTGATGGCCTCACTGCAAACAAAAATAAGATTTTTTTCCACCGGCTGTTGAAAAAAAGATTAATGTTGGAAATCCTGAAAGTGAACAGTATGAAGAGATATATCCCCGAAGTGTTGTAAGATAGATTACTTCATGAAATGTTATGGTTACCTTAAGAAGGCATCACTCTTCAAAAGTTGGGTTATTTATTTTCTTTAAGAAGGTAAATTGTGCAATTCTCATGGGGAACGTTGCTTCTCTCACTTGTGTTTTGTGATACGAAGCGGGCGTGCTTACATTTCTTTGATCCTTGAGCGTAGCAATGTCACTCAGTAACGTGTCGCACGTTTCCATGCTGCTGGGACAATAACTGGACGGTCGTGTTTGTTTCCCGATTTAACTGGCAAGAGAGATGAAAGGGCCTCTGCAATGCAGGCGTGGAATGGTTTTGGCCGGAAAAGCCACATGACTCTTGTCAAGCCTCAGTTTGCAGATGATGTCCCCATGCGAACTATGAGTGGTGACAGCTCTGGCTGCGTGTCGGTTAAAAATGGATGTTGCCGTGCACAAGTGATGACAATTGGATTTGCCATCTTGCGATCATAATATTTCCTGTTGACAAAGAAAGAAAATTGTGGCTGGCAAGTGGTATTTACAAAAGGAAATTTGCCATTTGGAAACTTTGGCGAGCGTGGCACCAAAGACAATGCGGTCCCACACGAACTTTTCATTTCATTTCGGCATTTAACAGTTTATCTGAATGCATCTTTTGGAACCCAGAGCCAGCACGATTACCGTTATACATTTATATCCGTATTTTCTGTCGTTTACTGCTGAGCTACATAGCTCATGAAGGTCATTTGCCTGCCACAGGCATGCAATTTCATCAAGCCGATTATGTTTCTTCAGCCTAGTTGGCAGATCCCGCTTAGCGGTACAAGTGTCAAGTACGAGCAAGATGCATGGCTCTGTTTCCAGGCTCGATTAGAGGTGTTAATCCTCCAGCGCTCTCCTTCGTGTTCTCCGAAACACTGAGAGCTTAGCGAGTGTGAACCCTAAGCACAGAGGTGGCGGTACTTCACAGGACAGTGTGACAGATGTAGCCGAAAGGCGTGGGTCAGGAGCAGTGGCATGGCTCGGAAACCACTGGACTCGCACGCTTGCTGTCCTAGGAGGAAAGTCAACACGCGGAAGGGGCGCATCTCTCTGTCGCAGCCTGTGCCTGACAGCCATGGGTGGCAGAACAAGGAGGCATTGATGGGCGCTGAGTGTGGCCCCCCGTGTGATTGAGACAAATGCTCTGCCAGTTTCCATGCGGTATAGCAGCAGTGGGTTTTGCAGGTGCAGAGCACGCATTCTCCAATCAAGAGTGCAGCGTCGTGCATTCACCGGCGACGTGATTTGGCTCTATTCATGCAGATCTATTTATGTAAAGGCAAGGGCACTCGGAAATCCTGGTTGTTGCCCCCTCTGTGCATGCATTGGACAGCTTGAAAAAAAACTACTCAGTGGAACACTTGCGGGGACATATTGTGACTTCTCAATGTTGATCATTATTTAATCCTTAAGTGCTGGACTCATCAAATATTTCCTCAAGCTGAACATTTCTGCTGCCTTGGATGCCATCGGAATGGCCCAAGACTGTATATTAGTAATATATTAGTTATATGGCTCTTATTCTGTATGTGGTGCCCATATGCAATCACCATATGTGTATGTCTGTTGAACTTCTCTCGCACCGTACTAAATTGTTGTGCATATTTTAACATAAAAAGTGGTTAAAACACCTACTGCAGTGTGTATATAGGTGGTCTATGTCAAATGGTGAATTTGTTTCAAATGAACATTCTAAGGATTTAACTGGCAAAGTTTTGAGTGGGTAGACTTTTGCAATTTCACACATTCCACGAAGCATTGGCCAGCCTGGTTTTTAAGGGCTGGATAATCTCACTCTGGCAGCTTCAACCACACGTCCAAGTCTATAGCCACCACCCTTTTATACCTACCACAGTAAACATAAATGAAAGGAATGTCTTTGGCAAAGAGAGAGCTGTGATTATCATCACGGAAAATTCAGCGGCCGCCTTGTTACTTTGGTATTTGTTTTCTCCTATGTTGTTGAGTGGCCTGAGTTTAGAATAACCCTTCAGAGTGTTCACTGCTGCTATTATACTGCTCAATAATTTGTATTGTGCAAAAAAACACACTAAGGAAATATGTCTTGCTTTAATTATCTTCTAGTACATATAGTCTGCTTGCATTCGAGTGTTTCTTTAGTGTTTTTGAGTTATCCTGCCCCCTGGCATAGTAATGTGGAATGTGGCACCATCACAGGCTCATGGCCGACATTCTACACACTCCTATGTGTAAGGGGACATTTTGGCTTTGACTGTCATACAGTAAGTATAATTGTTGGATTTGATATAGCAAGGAAGACTAATGAAGGGACCATTAAATTTTGATTTAAAGCTTTCGTGATTGCAGGGATTCGTATTCTTGGTTCTTTCGGTAAAGTCACGTAGAAGGGAAACAATAAAATAATCAAAATATAAATTATTGTTTTATATATTTATTATTTAATTGTTTCCCTTCTACGTGACTTTACCGAAAGAACCAAGAAAATGAAGGGACCATTGTTTTTTTTCCTCAAATGTTGGGCTTTTGTGTTTTTTTTCGCAGTTCAGACACAGCCTGGGAGCAGTGCCATGGTCGAGTGCACACAGGGCTTCAAGAGGGAGAGTGCAACCCAGTGCCGAGGTGAGCGCACGTGCCAGGGCTGGCCTGCGCCGTACTCGGCCCCCGCTGCTCTTGCCACAGACGAGACAAAATCAGTGCGGTGCCAGTGTTAGTTGCAAACCTGTGCATCACCTGTCCGGTTCGTAGTTTATAATCTGGTGTTTCCTGTGATAAAGAGGTGATCATTTGCTTTTGATGTGTTCTGGAGATGTTCACTCCTATAATTGATATGCCGTTCAACACCATTTTCATTGGCTTGGCTGTAAGTTTATGGAAAATTCTTATCTCGTGATAACCGTGTTTCCCTTGGGTCCTATTTAATAGCTAGCGTCAGACAGGCTGCTCCACAGCCAAGCGCCCGGAAGTTCACTCTTGTCTTCCCCACCATGCTGCTAGATATCAACGAGTGCCTGATCCAGGGCGCGTGCCCCAATGCCGACTGCCTCAACACCCAAGGCAGCTACAGGTGCATCTGCAAGTCGGGCTTCACCCTGGATTCCACCACCAATCGCTGCATATGTGAGTCTGCCCTCGAGATCACAGGCTCGTTGAGGCTTCACGGGGAGGCACACGTGCCATCGTCCGAGTCGTCGCACTATCTGAATAATGTTCCAAACATCATACAGTAAAAGCACTGAAACATTGTCATTTCATAGTTTGTGTATATTAAAATTTTTATATTTTAACCTGATTCTCAAGATGAATTACCCAGCAAATTTAACATGCTTGTACGGCACCTCGTAATGTGAACATTAGCGCAAATCTTTTTTTTCATCGTTATGATTGACATCGCCATTGTCTACAACCATAAGTAAAATGATGGAATTTTTGTATTAATTGTAAAAAATATGCTTTAAAAAACTGTGTTTTCTGTGAGACTGCATAGGTTTCGCTCATATTCCTGGGGGAGAGTTTGTTCGTGTAAGAACGTCAGTCCAATATTCAATTTCTTTCTGGAATGTTGGATGCAGCATGTGTGAATGCCGTTTGATTGACTTGGACTTTCAGACCGCTTGAAACACATCTCAATGTATTTCTCATAGCATGAGCTCCTCTGACTTGACCCTTAAGGCACACTGGCTCTTTAAGCCGACTTGTAACATTGATGGCGTGTCGAGTATTTGGACGTATATCTCAGCCACAAACAGTGGGGCCAGTGTTTTGTATATTTAGGCTACAATTTGATCGAGTGCAGTCATAATTTCATCATTTAGCGTGGAAGATTTTTACTCCTAAATGTATTGGTGTGCTCCATCATGAAATTTTTGAAAATAATAATTATGCATAAGTGTGTTTTACTTACTCCAAAATAAACAAAATGATTGATGTGTAGTTTTCCTTCAGGTTTACGGTGAATGGTTAATTCATTTCACCTTAAAATTTACAAACTAATAAACAATAACCCCGCGAAAAAAATAACTTTACTTAGTGTACTTGCGTGCGTGTCAGTGTTGACATTCATACTGGTCGCCGTTTGAAAATAACTCGCCGCTACATTATTTTTAGTCGTACTGGTAGTGGCTTAAGTCATTGCCTGAAGTTGGAATATTGAGCCGCTAACAAGCTCGCAACCATTGTTAGTAGTTCGTTTGTTTACAATGCGCCTTTTACAGAGAAACCATCAGCAAAGCGCACACCTCAAACATTACACAGCACAAGCAGCTTTAACCATCACCATCAAATGGCCCTTGACGTGATGTGAAACTACGTGACGAAAACCACGAAAATAAACAGTGAAAAACGCTGACATAATTCCGACAGGATTCCTTTGTTTTCAAATACTTGCCGTTATCCAAAAACAACCTAAAGCACTCGAATTCATCTCTCCACGCTGCTCATTTCATGTAGCACATTTAGTAACTGCCCCTGCCACATCCATCACGGTGACATTTCACATTTTACCTGGTTTTTAATTGCCGAGTGCTACCCCACCACCCTTTCCTGTGCCCAGCCAACAAGGCGCTGGCGGAGGAGAAGGAGCTGTGTTTCCACATGGTGGTGGAGCACCGCTGCCAGCACCCCCTGCCTGTGCCCGTGTCCCGGCCCGTGTGCTGCTGCTCCGTGGGTGTGGCCTGGGGCTCCGACTGCCAGCGTTGTCCCGCCAAAAACTCGGGTGCGTGCGTGTGTGCGTGCTCAAACATGCGCGCGGAGCGTGTCACGCACGGCCTGCGAGTGCACGGGCAAGTGGGTGTCTTTTGATGCCTATTGAAAGACGGCTTCGGAATGATTAAGTCTTATAACCTGGATGTGTTTTGAAAAAAGATAGGGGAAAAAAGTAAGTCTCGGTGTGTCAATGACTGAGGGTGAATTTGGAAATGTTTTAACCTAAAATGTTGACTAACAGTTAGAAAATATTAATCCGCTTCGCTCCACATGCAGAAGCAAAATAATGAATAAAACACAGCTTATGATAAGACGGGTGGAGTGTTAGTACAGTGGTCCACATGCTGCATTTCGTGCACACGCACCCGACATCGATTTCAAACCGCGGCTAGGACAGCTCAATCTTTACGTTGACTTCCTCTGCCATGCTGCATGTACAGATGCCTACGTTGAGATCTGCCCGGCGGGGCCGGGGCTGGTCTACCACCGCAATCCCGACCCCGTCGTCATGGAAACCATCTGGCTGCACCCTCCACGGCCCGATGATACGGTTCCCAACGAGGCACCGCCACTGCCGGCACCGACCACCCGGCCCACGCCCGCCGCTCCACCTCCCACCGCGCGTGAGACACCCCCCCCCTCCTCCTCTGCCCCTTGCGAATGTTTCTATCACACAATACGGCTCGGCATTGTCATGCGTCGAAGGGTCCCTCCACATTTAGGTTCATAACTTGGGGTGCACGCGCCCCTTAGCGGTGCGAGATGCCCTTTCTGGCGGTGCGAGACATGACAATGTTTTTTGGGTATAAATCATCGAAACGCAAATTAATCATGAACATGTAAGTACAACCGCTGCGTTTCATCAAACCTATGTGTTTATTAACGTTAAACATGTTTTTACGATTGAGAACCAAAGGGGTGCAAGGCTGCAGTAAACGTTAAGAACCTTAGAGTATTTGGCTGATATTTCCATATGACAAGCCACTTCGTTGAGCTGTCGTTTGTGGCCAGGTCGCGTCTGAAAAGGAGCTAAACATAGTTTAGTTCAAGTTTAGTTCAATTCCGTAGAGCACACGGCAACGAAAATGCAGGTTATAATTTGTTAAACAGCAGGCTTCTGTGTTTTTGTTTTGCAGCTGTTCCACGTAGGGAAGCAATGGTAAGATTTTTTTAAGTATTTTATTTACATACAAACATTAAATGTGAGATGTTTGGATGTGAAGGTAATGTCGGAAAGTATTTATGCGACCGGATGCACATTCTTGAGACTGATATATTGAGGGATTTTAATGTATTGTCATTGCTTGCGCAAATCTTAATGCTAATATAACATGATTTTCATGTTACCTATAAATATGCGTGCCTTAAACATTTTCATGCAATAACAATATGCCTTTGCTTTCAGACAACTCCACCCCAGCGTGAACCCACAATACAAATGAAAGGTTTGTGATTTTTTTTGTCATTTTGCTCATCATAAGTTTACACATCATTGCAGGAATGCAATCTTTATTGTGTGCTGTCATCCGGTCCATGTCGTCAAGCTATGAAATAGCCAGCGACGTACGGGTGCCGTCAGGCGCACGTCTACTCAGCGAGTGCTGAGCGAAACGTGGCCACCAAATACTTCCCCCCCCCAAAAGAATCTGCCTTTTTAGAGCCTTTCACGCTCGCTGATCCAGGCAGGGCCTTCACGCTTTGCTGAACGCGTTATGGCTCAAACTGTGGCTTAGTGGGGAAGAAATATGCATCCTGCATCCGTCATGCAATCGTGCTGCACTGGAAATGTACCTTACCCAACAGTTATCGATAACGCTCGGCGGATAACTTTTTTTTTCCGTGTTACTCTTGTGTAGCAATGAGAGACAGAGAGAGAGAGATCTGTTAACAGGATGTCACGTGTATTTGTGTGCTTGGTTGTCATCAGCTTTTTAGAAAATAGAACTTGTCATCTTTTTCCCGGAATCCCTCGAGGCAGCACTTTGATGTGTGTGTGTGTGTGCGTGTGTGTGCGTGTGTGTGTGTGCCCATCTCTTCAATCAGAGCGGCTTATTTCAACTGTGGCACCGAAGCAGGTGGACCCCGAGGTGACCACGAAGAAAAACGCACTAAGCATCATTACTCCCGAGGAGCCTGACACAGGTGGAAGAAGGAATGCATGCATCTGTGTGTCTGCGTGCATGTATGGGGGGAGCGGTAATGTAGCAGTTAGCGCGCTGCGCTACAAACCTGGCAACCCGGGTTCGATTCCCGCTCACGGCCAACACCAGTGACGATTATCTGAACCGGCCCTGGGCCTCCCCTAGGTCGACTCAGCCTCAAATGAGTACCTGGTGCAATGTGTAAACGTTGCCACTAGGGAGACAAAGGCGGCCGAGCGTGGTGTTGGCCACCCACCCCCTCATGCGCAGTTCTGGCCTTCATCGGTGCTCACTAGCAGGACTTGCTCCAGCAGTCTGTCAAGGCTATACGGGGGATCTTTGTCTTTGTTTCATCTGTGTGTGTGTGGATTGGTCATGCAGTGGTCCGCACATTGCACAATAAACCCAGCGACCCCAGTTAGATTCGCGCTTATGACCAATATCAGTGGCGAATATATAAATCGGTCCTGGGCTTCCCGTCGGTCGTCTCAGCCTTATATGAGTACATGGAGCATTGTGTAAACAGCACTGGGGAAACAATGGTGGCCAAGCATGGTGTTGCGTGCCGGGCCAGCCTTCATAGGTGCTCACAAATAGCACTTGCCTCAACAGTTTGTGAAAGGGTATACGGGGGTCTTTGTGTGTGTGGATTCAGCATTAGCTTTTTTCCTACAATGCATAATATCTACCAAAAAAACATAATTTAGAATTTGAATTCACTTATGTTTTTTTTATGTAGTTTTTAGTTTAACATAGCGGCCTTCATGCAAATGACATCGCAAAATGGCTTAGGGACCCACAGAAGGCAGCCAGGCATTGAGCCAACACCGACAATTGCCCAATATCTGGAGTCCCCTATGTATGAATATTATTCCAGTCTATTAAGTAAAATAGCTTTAAAAAAAAACCCGCGTACTTTATGTCCTTATTCTCGCTCGCCATATTCTATATAAAACGTGGCTCTACTCTCGTTACGTGAAGTCACTCTCTTTCATAGTTGCCATGCCGTCAAAACTCTAGTTTGCTCTATCCGTCTTATTTCCATGCAAGTCTGCGAAATACCTTGCAACTAATGCCACCTGTTCGTTCAACTGCCACATTTGATATCAAAGATTTGGATGATTGCCCTTATTCTTCTTCCATGGGCGTTGCTTAGAATGCGATTGGGAGTGGCCACTGGTAAAACAAACAAACAAAAGCAAATTAGCCATCGCCAAAAACACGTGTTCGATTTTCATATCTATTATGACATTGTATCTAACACATGTGACGTTTACCCTAAGTCCTCGTGCAAAACCACATCTGGCAGCATAATCAGAGTAATTTTAAGTTTCAATATGTAACTTATCCGTGAAGTTGTTTTCGTAGCTTGTCTGTACGCCCCTCCCGTAATTGTGCATTGTGTTGTGGTTTGTTGTATGTGTGCATTCAAAAAAATATTTACAAATTACTTTCGTCATTGTTACTGCCTTCCTCGTGGATCTGTTTACGCAGCTCTGAAGAGGTTTCTGGTTTTTGGGGCTATTTTTTTGTCGCTGCTACGATAGCTTCAGGGCAGCAACCATGGAACTATTTAAATTACTATCCATAAGCTGTCACAAGAACCACCTGTGTGACCGGGTGTTACCATCATCACAGAGTTTATGGCTGTTATCAACCAGTTTAAAGTGCTGTTGTCAAAGCAAAATATGTTTGCTTGTAATGTCACCGACGTTCTCAACACTCCTGCGATCAATTAGAATTAGTTTTTAAATTGCTGTGTTTAACGTTCTTGTGCATGATAAATCAATGTAATACTTTGTTTTACCCTCCAAGGTTCTCTCATAGACCATGTGATATATCTCAATGGGTTCTGACTTGGTTGTAAATAAAGCACGGTGCTGACTAACGATTTGTGTGGTGACTGATTTGCTGCAGGCCCGAGGGAGTCGGATATCTGCTTGCTGCGGCCGAATATCTGCGGGCCCGGCCAGTGCTACAACCTGGACGTGGGCTACACTTGCACGTGCCATTTTGGCTACCAGTACAACGAGCAGCTGGGCCGCTGTGACGGTACACAATCCTCTGCTCCACCTGTGGTCACTCAAACGCATGCGATGTAGTCCTGGTTTGCTCAACATTATATTTTGCTTGACTTAAAGCTTTCGTGACTGCAGGAATTCATATTCTTTGGGTCTTTCGGTAAAGTCACGTAGATAGGTTCAAAGAAAATAACAAAAAAAACTACGACGTTTCGACCGAAACACAAGCGGTCGTCTTCAGGAGTGGTCGTCTTTGCGATCGAAACGTCGTAGTTTTTAGTTTTTTCTTTGAACCTGTCTACGCGACTTTACCGAGAGACCCAAAGAATATTATATTTTGCGTGCATTACTGCGTTTCAAATCTTTGTCGAGCATACTGCTTGAAGTGAAAATAAGTATTGAATGCGGGCTGTTGTGTCGGACCCTGTGTCTGGCCCATTGTCTACCCCCTCCTCCCCCTCCGCTGTAGATATTGACGAGTGCAGCACGGTGCCACGGCTCTGTGCCAACGGGCGGTGTGAGAACGTCATTGGCAGCTTCCGCTGTATCTGCAGACCCGGATTCATTTTTGATGACTCTGGAGCAGAGTGTCAAGGTAGTCTCATCTGTCGCTAATAAGTACAGTCGTCATTTCGGCCTTCAGTCACGTCACTGCATGAACGTTCACATGACTCGGCACATTAATCAATTCTGCCTTCAGTTTATGCCACTGCATGAATGTTCACCGCTTTGTCCACCTGTTTGCCCGGTTGCCCAGAAGTGGACGAGTGCATGTCCGACCCATGCCAAGGCAAGGGGCGCTGCATCAATATACCTGGCTCGTACGCCTGCCAATGCAACCATGGCTACATGCCCGTCGGACGGAACAATTTCAAGACCTGCCAGGGTATGCTCACGGTTTGAAACCTGCAGAGCCAAACCAAACAGAACAAAATCCCAAGCTTTTGCATCTTAATGACATCTCTTTAAAAAAAGATTTGCTTGAATTGCAAGAAAAATTTTACATTCTTGGGTCTTTAGGTAAAGTCACGAAAATAACTAAAAAAAAATAACAAAAAACTACGACGTTTCGATCGCAACACAAGCAATCGTCATCAGGAGATATGTTATGTTTGTATTTAGTTAGCTCGGTCCTTATTCCATATATTTTGAAAGTACTTGCATAAACTTGTTGGCATAATTTGAGCTAATTCCATACTGCCATTTAATTCCATCAGACATCAACGAATGTCTAAAGGTGAACAAGTGCATCGGTGGCCGCTGCATCAACCTGCCCGGATCGTATCGCTGCGAGTTCTGTGACGCGGGACACGTGATGAACACGCGTGGCCAGTGCGAAGGTAAGGCCTCAGCCCCGACAGCCTGCCGCGTTGTGTCGAATGAAACAACTGAATAAGGGCCTGTGTGTGAAAGCGGCATCGGAGCACCGCACCGGCACACACGTCGGCTGCGTCCAGTCACCCAAACCCTATAACCCTTGCACTGCCGCAGATGTGAACGAGTGCCGCAACCCCAACACCTGCCCCACTGCCAAGTGCGTGAACACGCCGGGTTCCTATGAGTGCGTTCGCTGCCCCAGTGGCTTCGAGGGCCGCAACGGTCACTGCATCGGTACCGTACGCACTGTCCACGGCACCATTTACACCGCAACGGTCCTTCTTAACCACGCGGTAGTCCGCTGACAGGCCTCCCCCCCCCCCCACCCGCTCCTGTATGGTGCTGTGTTTCAGATGTCGACGAGTGTGCGGACGGGAACGTGTGCAGCAACGGGATTTGCGCCAACACGGAAGGCTCTTATTCGTGCACACCTTGTGGCACCGGCTTCCGCTTGACCTCCAATGGCAAGGCCTGTGAAGGTACGGGACTGGAGACCGGTGGGGGTTTATTTTCTCCGTAGCACCACTTGACTGTCTTCTCTACTTACACGTGCGAAAGCAACTGCAGTCGGGATGACGGTAAGAGGCCGGGCATTCATGCAGCGTGCGGTGTGTTTTTTGCCTGCAGACATTGATGAGTGTCAGAATGGGATTGTGTGTGGAGGCGGAGATTGTGTGAACACTCGGGGCTCCTTCCAGTGCGAATGTCAGCCCGGCTACCATCTGTCCAGTGGCGGGGACCAGTGTGAAGGTATAAGCCGGTCGGAGTGTCGTGGGGTATGCACTCTTTGACCGTTGATATTTTTTTTTTAAATGTTCCATTCCAGAGTTGTGCTTGAAGTTGTTTTGGGTGGTGTTTGGACGCGAGATGTGGATGAGTGCAGGGAGGGAGCCTGCCAGGATGGCGAGTGCCGGAATTTGCCTGGCTCCTTTTCCTGCGTCTGCCCTGCCGGCTATGAGCTAACAGCCAACCAGCGCTGCACCGGTAAAGCCACCTTACTCCTTTCATTTGCAATAGACAATTTCAAACTTGGCAACGTGTAGAAGTTATACAATGTGTACGTGCATATATATTTTAATTCCGAAATGTTTAATTTGTATTGACCTTAATGTTTTTTTAATTACATAGGTGCACAAAGTTGATCTGACCTTCACCCCCTTACACCTCCACAATGTATTTTCCCCCTGGCAGATATTAACGAGTGCCTCTCAGAGTCTGTGTGCGAACCCCATGGGGACTGCCTCAACACCGATGGATCCTTCTACTGTGTGTGCCATCATGGTTATAAATCCTCTGCCAACGGACGCTTCTGCAAAGGCACGTGGCAGTGGAACATCTGCAGCTCGGTTCACCTCCTGACCAAGAGTTCTGTAGACAGGGGCTTTCTCTAAAAAAATAGCCGAATACTGTACATATATATTTTACCAAGGAAATGTTAATTGTGACAGTGGTAATGTTATAATAATAGGGTTTTTCCCCTTTTTTCTGGCAACAAAACTGAAACCTTTTTACAAGGATTCATGTTTGCATTAACCACAATACCTGCAGTAAAAATCCAAACAAAAATCATACTATGATAATATATGCATTGTCCTTGAAACTGATTGGTCCACACCAAGGGACGGCTTTCTTTTGAGCCTCGACCCAATTGGTGCTCGACCAGATGACGCCAAAAGGCGTACAGCTCGGACAATGCACTATCAAAGTAATGAGGACTCGGGGTGAACATCTACATCATAACATTTTGGTACTGTCTTTGAGCTGTACGCCTTTGGCGTCATCTGGTCGAGCACCAATTGGGTCGAGGCTCAAAAGAAAGCCGTCCCTTGGTGTGGACCAATCAGTTTCAAGGACAATGCATATATAATCATAGTATGTTTTTTTGTTTGCATTTTTACTACAGGTATTGTGGTTAATGCAGACATGAATCCTTGTAAAAAGGTTTCAGTTTTGTTGCCAGAAAAAAAAAAGGGAAAAACCCTCTTATTACATTTTGGTACTGGCAAAGGAGGTCTAATAAAGAAGTGGTAATGTTTTTTTGTGGTCTGTGATTAAACACTACTTTAACTCTTTAAGCAAAATGGGAGGTCTTTTAAAAGTACGGTATATTTTTCGTGTTGGTGGGGTAGGGTAGCCCTGACTCTCACCCGGTTTTGTGCAGATGTGGATGAGTGCTCAGAGGGGCAGCAGTGCCCTGGCGGGCAGTGCGTGAACACGGAGGGCTCGTTTACTTGCGAATGTGAACCTGGCCTGCGCCTCAATCCAGGCACCCACACCTGCGTAGGTGAGGTCCTAGCACAGCCAACAACATCCTCCATCTGCAGTCCTCGCAGCACCGAGCCCTTGAAATAACACAGAGGGCAATTATTTTTCGTGATGTTATACAATTAAGCTGTCAAACACTTGTTATTGGAAATAAAATACAATTGATGTTTTGTTATATTTTCCTCTGTAAATTGTTGTGGTCTTTCCTGAAATGCATCACTACCCTATTTAGAGCCCCTTATATAACAGCAATTTCCAGATGTGAACTTATACGCATATAACAATTCTCCATTGTGATTCAAAGAATACTTACAATTTGGAGTCATGATTCCAATCAAGGAGATAAATTCCTGTTCTAAACATCGTGGTGAATCTAGCAAACCTCTCTTGTCTGCAGGGTTTACATGAATGAATACGCACAACATACACAAATAGAAAAGAATAAATTATCACCACGCATGATTCCATAGATGTATGGTGAGCGTAAGCATCGATTTTAATGCTATGCATTATTTTGTGCCTAGAAAATGTGTATCATATACTGGTAATCAGTGACTAAGCTTTCTGCTTATCTCATTTCCCCCCTGCAGACATTGATGAGTGTGCGGAGTTTGACAGCAGCCGCTGTGGCTCCTGGCGCTGTGAGAACACGCACGGCTCGTACCGCTGCGTGCAGGCCTGCGACCGGGGCTACAGGCTCTCCTCCACAGCCGAGTGCCAAGGTGGGTACACCACACACACACACACACGTGTGTATTGGCCCTGCACACACCACACACACACACGTGTGTATTGGCCCTGCACACACCACACACACACACGTGTGTGTGTGTGTGCAGGGCCAATACAACACAAAGCAACGCGCGCACATTGTTAAAGGACCGCGATGTACAGAGTGCCTACCGTTGACGAGCGCCTTGCTTCCGGAGCACATTTAAACTGCACGTGGTTAATTCACACTCGCACTGCATGCCACGCTGCCCTCCTGGCCCACTTTGGTGTATGTATATGGAAGTTTTATAACTTGAACTCTTTACTGAAAAGGTCAAATGGTGTTGTGTTCTTTCATCGTTGTTCTTGAATGGGCATTCTGATAAACGATAAAATACCACTGATGATGCTCAACAGTCTATAGTGAGCTTTGCATTTAATGATATGTGTAAAGAACGTTTTATTGTGTAACAATTGCATCGATCACACAAAAAATATATGTGTAGACCATTCAATAACCAAATTATATCTAATAGATCATTACATTGCCAAACCCAAATGTCAATTATGCATCTTAATGTTGGGTGTGAGTACCTACGTGTTAAGTCAGATTAGATGTAGGATATCTTTAGCAATCAATGCCATTTTTATGAAATGTACTATATTAGTGACGTCAACAAAGCTGTGAGATTATGGTGAATTTAACTTTCCATCTGAATTCCTGTTCTTATCCTTGACAGCACACTGCAGGTTCATGTCACTGTGCAGGTTACAGAAAGCTTTAAACACAGTGCACTGTTTGCCTGTCTCACAACGGGATGTTGGCAGCTCTATAAAGGGTGCAAAATGGGACCCACCACATGCAGGCACATGATACAAATGAGAGCTGGACAGCTTTGAGGTCTGGTGGGTCTGGAAATTTATCTCATAGCCAGATATGCAATATTTCCCTTTTTCTAGAAGCAGTCCAGAGTTAAGTTGTGATGCTACTTAAGAGAGGGTATGGTAAAATGAAGTTACCAAATGAGAGCTCCTAAATCATGCGTTAAGGCCGCAGTGGAAGAGTTGGCGTGTTTATGGCTCTAAAATCGAGTACTTTTATGTGCGCGTTCTCTGGCTGGAACGGATGCATTACATCAAATCCAGATTTATTACAACAATACTTTCTACTTACACAGCTGTACTGTGTTACTTATGACAATGCTACGGCTCACCACCATCACCAGAGAATAACCCTTGCACTCGCGTTACTTTGCCACAGAAGGGACCGCCAAGCATCACAATAAGAGCTAATTTGATTTCCTTTCGTTTGTTGTGCAGACATTGACGAGTGCCTGGACGACACAGTGTGTGGCCGTAACGGATTCTGCGAGAACACAGAAGGCTCATTTAGATGCCTCTGTGACCAGGGCTACCATGACCTTCAGGATGGCCAGGAATGTATAGGTATGCGTGTTACGAATTAGCATTCGTTAGGTGTTGGCGCAGCCCATTGCACGTGCTCTTCGTCCAGTGCGATCGACCACAGCTGACCGTGCTGTGACATGCCTCTCCCTCCCCCTTGCCCCTCCAGATGTGAACGAGTGCGAGATGTTTAGCAGTGTGTGTGGCGACGATGCCCTCTGTGAGAACGTGGAAGGTTCCTTCCTGTGCATTTGTCAGCAACATAACAAGGAGTTTGACACCATGTCTGGAAAGTGTGTTGATCGCCATTCAAGTATGTCCCACTGCTCTCTCTCTCTCTCTTGGCCTAAATATGAATGTGTTTGTTGCACGTGGCAATTATTGTGCAAATGTCTGTAATTTCTGTACCACATTCACCTCATCCTATTTTAATGCACATGATTACTCTTTATTTGTTTCCAATAATCAAGGAAAATGTGGTTAAGTGGATTAAAACATTGTTTCGTAAAAGGTTTGGCAGAGATCATCGTGTTCAAGGAAGATTAAACTCAAAACGCAAATGGCTCTTGTCGAGTAGCTACACAAACTGTGTCCTGGGTTGTGTGGCATCAGTTTGAAGCTTTGGTGATGAGAAAAAAAAAATATAATGCGACTCTCAGAGAGGGGCGCGGGCCCTCTAGTGATATCACCACAGTGTGAAAGCTGTACCCTTTAAATAAATCATTGCAGTGAGTTCACTAGATTGCTAATGCAGCATTAGAGTTAAACTCATATCAGCCAGCCTGAGACACATTGGCCAACTATTTGTCCATGTTACCAATTATTTTGGCTTGCATTTGTTTGAAAAGATTCCTGCTCCACTTGCCATCAGGCAAGCTGTGTGTGTAGAGTGTGATGTCTAACTCCGGTTTGTGGCTGCCCAGTTGTGGACTCTCGGGCACCGGGGGTGGAGACCAAGGAATGCTATGTCAACCTCAACGATGCCAACTTTTGTGACAACGTTCTGGCTGTCAATCTGACGCGGCACGAGTGCTGCTGTACCCTTGGCGCGGGCTGGGGTGACAACTGTGAGATCTATCCGTGCCCCGTCCTTGGCTCAGGTAAAAGCCGGACAAGGCTGTGGCCGATTTTTAAAATTCGAAACCTCAAACCTTAACATGAGTGCTCTGATTTGTGTGTTGGCTGAAAGGTATTTTTCACTGAGCTTTGGGGGAAAGTGGCATTGCCCTTATTTGCGGATGTATATATTTTTTATATATATAAAAATAAAATCGGTGGGAAAGTGGTTTCTGCCATGCATGATCATGCCAATTCTGTTAATTTTTTGTTTTGATTTAGCATATGTGTATGTTTATTTCAATCTGAAAGTATTCTGAATAGGTTTAGTACAACATTTTTTGTGTCTGTTTGTTTTGTTCAGTGGAGTTCAAGAACCTTTGCCCTCATGGAAAGGGATTCATTCCAAATGAAGATATAGTGTATGACACCATCCCCCAAGATTTCAAAGGTCTGAAATATGGAGGAGTGACACGACATAAACCAGCAAAACACTGAGGATAAGGGCATGTTGGCCTGTAGGCTTCTAAGGATTTCATTGGCTGAAAACCCTGCTTTGGCTCCACAGATGCAGATGAATGCATCCTGTTCGGCCAGGAGATTTGCAAACGTGGCACCTGCCATAACACGGAGCATGGATACAAGTGCTTCTGCAAGTCAGGCTTCTACTACGACCGGCAGAAACTGGAGTGTCTCGGTGATGGATGCACTGGCCATGCTCACCCTCCTCAACAACAACAAAAACACACTCCCGACATACACGAACATGATTTACAATTTGCTGCCAAAGCCTGACCATAAAGGCCAGTGTCTTCCGCATGACCAGCGCGCGCCTTGCATTCTCGTGTACAATTGAGTGTGCCGTTGCGTTTTTATGTCCTTTTGCTGTGCATAGCAGTGGCCTTTGATGTAACACGCGATGCTTACTGCGTGTGTGTAGTCAATGGTGGCTTGTGTTGGTGGGTCCATTGTATAGACGTGGACGAGTGCACGGACGAGTGGAGCTGCGAGGGAGGGAGCTGCGTGAACACGGACGGCTCCTTCGACTGCTTCTGTCGCCCACCCCTCATCCTGGACTCCAACGGCAAGCGCTGTGTCAACAGCTCGGGCCTCCTGGGTATGCATGACTCTCCAACACATCTCCCCTTATGTCTTATTAAAGTAAAATATTTCCTTTTCATGGATATTACTTATTTGTATTCATATGCAGCATCCCAACTGTAATTAGTTTTTTTTTGTTGGATTGGGCCTCTTTAATCACATCTCTTTAGCAAATTGGACCCTGTGAATCACAGACATGTTTCCAGCCACGATATGATGATGCTTGAATTCGTTCAAACATCTAATTTACCATACTTTACATAATCATGAAATGTGGCTGAGGGTGTTACAGAGCAGTTACTGCACACACACACACGCGCAGTGTGTTCAGTCACAATCGTGTCGTTTTCTGCTTAAGAGGCTATTGTGGGACAGTAAAGGAGGGCTTCTTTCGGCGTGCGTCATTATGCTTCACGCTGCCTCTAATGGGAAACTTACCAGCATTTAAAATGAGAACGCATGTAAATTGCTCCCTCATGTTGTAAACCATTTGAATAAACATCCGCTCAGATTGCCTCCCAGCTTCGAGCCACATGGTGTGAACGTAAAGCTAACCAATATTACTCTTTCGTTCTTTCGGTAAAGTCAACGTAGGTAGAAAAATTAAATTAAATAATAAATATATATTTCTTAATATATTACTTTATATTTTATTTTTCTACCTACGTGACTTTACCGAAAAAACCAAAGAGTATGAATTCCAGCAGTCACGAAAGCTTCAAATCAAGATAGAACTAACCAATATTCCCTGCCACCACGATGCAGGCAGTCAAAAAACAGCCATGCAGTTTTGTGTTTTGCGTGAATACAATTTGCACAACTTAAAAGGACCGATGCGTCATTGCTCCCACAGATTGAACAGCTCCTCTGGCTCCGTCACCAAAGTGAGGGCGCGCGGGGTGTGGGTCACTCGGGCTCGCAAATTAATTTGCGTTTTCTGCCACACGGTCTGGCAAATTTCTCCAATCATGTGTGTGTAGTCAGTTCTTTTCAGCGTCATCTAAGTTCATATGAAATGAAAGCACTTCTACTCAAATTGTGTATCTTGTGTGCTACAATGGTTAGTTTTCTGAGAATTAAATGTTTGTATTTAATTCTGTCTAATTGTATGAAGTAAACATACTTTTATGCCTTGACTGGCTGCGGAGTATGCAGGGTCAGCTTCATTACACAGATTGTTATTGTGTTAACACCCCGCGCAGCCCTGAAACACAATCCTAGCACAGTGCCTAATGACGGTGGTTATGGCTTCGTACGTTTCATACCGACGGTGTTGTTATCATTGGATAATTTTAGAAAGCAGCTCGGACCACTGCACTGTGGATGAATATGTAGAACGTCCCAGGTATCCAGTTCATGTGTCCATATTGAAGCTCACTCGAACTATTCAGGACGTGCCCTTGCCTCTCCGCTAAAGGTACCACATAGGACTGAATGGATTGTTTGATATTTGTACCTAAAAATAAATGCAACTCTAAAATCCTTAATGTGCAAAACATGCAGCTTTTTCTACTGTAGGATCAGCAAACAAATCTTAGCTGCCTTTGCGGCTTATTACAAGCATTTGTTATTTTTCTCAGCATAGCCTTCTAATGCCATCTCTTATACAAGTACAAGGTTTAACCAGCACAGACCTCACCTCCGATGAACAGGGTTGGCTACGTACGGTACGAAAGGAGTTCATAAATGCATAACAAGGCCGTAATGCCAGACCACCTTTTCGTACAAAAACGTGTGGTAAGCTAAAATGTGATTTATTGCTATTTTAGGGTTTTATAGTGAGATGTGAACAACAAGTCACCGCACCTTTAATAAAAGAAAGATACAGAGAGGTTTTGAAGCGTCAGGTTTTGCTCTGTGTCCAAATAATATCATAGGATTTATTTTAGCACGTGATTTATGGAGCACCTAAAAGGCCTGTCTGTTCATAAAGCATTCCTGAAAGTCTCTACTTAGGGCTTGTGTTCTCACTGTAAGTGCATGAGAATGTGTGCTGGACTGCATTCCCGTTGTGTGTGGGGGGGGGGGGGGCTCAATGTTGCCGTGCGTGCGAAACTGCTTTTGAAGTGGAGTAGATGAAAAATGTAAACTTAGACGTGTTCACAAAAAATCATATCTGGCAGAGCGGGCGCAGGAGCTGGAGGTCTGCAGATGGTTGGTTGCGTGTGGTTTCTCAGTCCACAGCTTTGTACATGGAATGGTTCATTGGTGTTTCATCATCGGTGCCCTTTCGCGTGAGAAGCTGTGAACAGAGCACACCAAGGTCCCGACTATTACTGCCTCAAGACGCCTGCTGCTGTCGGCATCCAAATCGCAACCGCTTTGGATACTTAGATTAATGGGGAGGCTGTGAAATTTAAACTTAGAGCTACTAAATGGGGGCTTTTATAGGAGATGGCTGCAACGTTTGCGATACACTCAACTCTCATTGGCTGATCGCCAAAGCAGCACAGATGTGGAATTCCACATACAGTACGAGGCTGAGCCAGACACATCCTGTTTTAATTTTAGCCACTAATGGCATAAATGGGAAAAGTAATAGATCAGGTGGACACTCGAGTACTTAACAAGGTGCCATAGTTTTCAGGGAAGCGATATCTCTTCGTTTAAATTTCAGACTACCATTATGGCCATAAATCTAAGCGATACGTATATCGAGCAAGGGCTCGCTCAGCGGGTGGCCTTTTGCCATTGCATTAATTACCGGTTATGGCATTAGCGGCCGTTGTGCTTTAATCAAGCACATATATAGTATATACACTGTGTGTATAATTTAGCTCGTTTTAGCACCGTATAGTGGAGGGTTTTTTTTGAAAACTCTGAGATAAAACCTGATCCCCTGCGCCTGCTCCCAGTCAGCCCTGCTGCTCCGCCCAGCCCGTGGCCTGTAGCCAAGGCAAACGAGAGGGCATGAAAGGGGCTCCAAGCGGCCTGGGGCAGGCTCATGATGCCACGAGACGCACAAGCACGTGGCCTCGGCCAGGGCAAACACAAATATAACCTCCGTAGGGCTCACAAAGGAGCGCAAATTAAGAATAACCTGAATAATGAACTTCAGTGTAAGGCAGCTCACTGTCTTGCGTCAAGCATTGGGAGGCCAAAGAGTTATTTAAAGCATAAGTGCCCTTCTGCAAACCAATGGCCGTGTAATAAACAAACTTTTTTCAGTTAACGTTTAGTTGATTTGCATGGATAATTGCGTTTAGTCAATTGCCCGGCTATTTTACAGTGGAGGCCCGTGGTGTGTGAGCCCAGCAACAACAAAAGCAGAAGACAAAAAACACAATCAATGTTGAAGAGAACAGGAACAAGTTCCTTAAGGAATAGCACTGATGTCAGTTGTAGCTGAGAGTGGTTCTTGGTTCAATGGGTCATAGTGCAGTGTGTTCACTATATCTTCCTATTTCAAAACTAAGTTAGTAATTCATGGTTATTAATATATGATATTGATATATTGTATTATGCTTGTGTGCCAGCGAGCACGTGGTACGTGTAGTTGTAATGACTCGCAGTGGGGCCACATTTTTGCCATGTACAGCAAAAATGGTCATTGGAAGAACGTAACCAGAACACGTAAACGAAACATGGACAAAGTATACGGAGCAAAAGCTCAACGTGTGCAAATGAGCATGGAGTGATCAATGCGGGGATTTACAGAGTGAGAGAAATAGGGATGCATGGTTGAGAGAACAAATCCAACTTACACGCATTATATTGATTAATGGGAAGTAAGTGGGTTTGTGCAGGACACAGCACTTGAAGGGATGATTGCAGATGGACAAGACTGCTCATGGAATAGCAGCAGAAGGAGAGATCACAACCAAGAGAACATCCACTGTAGGGATGGAGTGATGAGGGCAGTTCATGTGCAAGAGTGAGATTTATTGTAGCATCTCAGGACCGGATAAGGCCCACTGAGCTGTATCGCTCTTTTTCAGAAGTGGCTTAGCCACAAATGATAGCTCAACGAAGTGGCTAATCATGTGGAAATGTATAGTAACCACATACTGTAAAAGTATGTTTGTAAATGTGGAGGGAAAAAGTGGAGGACCCGGATAAATGTTCACGCAACCACAGGGAGAGAGACATGCAAACTCCAAATTTTCAGGCGTCAGGGTTAGAATCGAACCCACGACCTCCTGTATACCAGGCGAGGTAGTTAACATCTCATAGCCACCGTGGCGCCCCAATTGTGTGTTTTGTTGCCTTGTGCAGGTACATGTATATGTATTAATGTTTGTATGTGGACTTGATCTTTGTGCTGTGTATGCCCATGTGGTGGTTGTAGAGGGTTGTATAAGCTTGATATAGAGTCCAGGTTCTTTTAGGGAATTGGCAAGTTTGCCACCCCGTAATAATAAGCAAACATTTTTTATCGGGTCATTTATGCAAACCGCGTCTCACGGGAAGGAAGAGATGCCCTATTTCTTGCCTCCTGAGTGGGTATTAAGAGTACATTGAACCCATATGTCCTCAATTTAGCTGTTAATAAGAGTGGCCAATTGCCAGATAGTCAGCAGCTCTGTGCTGAAGAGCAGCACATGGAACCACACAGAAACATACGAGCAATGGTGCACTGTGAACTCGGTGGCCGTTTAATCAAACCAAGCCGCGTGTCACAGAACCCGGCCCGTGTGGTGGTGTTGCTGCTGCACGATACGTTGTTGGCAGCACTGTGCCGTGCCACCCTTTGACCTGTCCCGGTGATGCAAATGCACACAGCGCACGAGTTCTACATGTACCCTACTAAACGGTGTTTCGAGAGTTAATGCAATGTATCACGGTGAAATTGGGGTCATGGAATTATATTGTATTATGTATATGCAGAATTATGAATACTCTTAGAATCTTCAAGCTTATATTTTTTCCCTGAACTGGTTTTTAAGTTGTAAAAATGCATTTTGCTAAACTTGAGTTCCCATTCCTTTTTTAAACTCTTGTCAAGTTCATCAAATATTCTTCCCTTAAAATTAATAGCACAAATTTCGCCGAAACGAAAAACCGCGTAGGGTTACACACATCCATGAACTTGTGCGACTTGCCAGGGATGAGAGATTGCGAACCAAGGCACTGACGGAGTGGCCAGGTGGCCCATTGCAGGCAGGGTCTTATGTGTGCGTTTGGCTCTGCAGAGCGACATGAAGAGGAGGACGCCGAGATGCTGATGAGCATGTGCTGGCGGGCGATGGGCAATGACTTCATGTGCAGCCAGCTCATCCTGGGCAAAGAGACAACCTACACTGAGTGCTGCTGTCAGTACGGGGAGGCATGGGGACCGGACTGTGCGCTCTGTCCAGAACGCAACACTGGTATGCACACCACCCTGCATGCAGCAAGGTCTACCTCATTCTACCCGATACCCAATTTGAGCCACGTCGTACTGTGTTTGTACCTGTGTTGAGGGAAGTTTTTAAATAAAAGAATCCGTCCACATTGTGGGAGCTTTGTCAGAAACATCTGGCTACTCAGACACATCATTAACATTCTACACACCTGGCTGATGAGATTCGATGCAGTCAAATCGGGTCAACGGTTTGCCTTGTTTGAAAAATAAATTGTCGTAGGATATGTATATCCGAAAAGCGGTTGGTCGATTAATCAAGCGTCATTTCACATTGGAGGTAAACCAAATACTTTACCTGTTTATGTCATTAATAAGTATCTGTTGAGACAACCGGTCATGGTGCCCTTTTACAAGTTCCTTTTGTTGTGCTTGTAAAAGTCGGTTTTATCATTTTTGGCAGCTGCAAGGGAGTGGTCGTGTGGTTGTCTCTTGTCGCCTCCTGCTGCCTGCTCGCGGAATTGTGCTTATATGTCATCGAGTAATACTATACATATGGTAACATCCTACTCGTCTAAACAAACTATCTTTTTTTTTCCACAGTTGGTTGGTCAGCAGATGTCATGCCCTGACAGACGGGATGCCCCTGTTTGAATACACCCAAAAATTGTTTGGAGGCCGACGCTTGACTTGGCTATGAAAACAGTTGTTCATCACTTGCCCGTATTTTTAGAGGACGCTCGGAATAACTGGCCCATGAGGGTGATTAAAAAATATTTTTGGTGGGAGGAAGTTGGCTGCTTGTTTTGCGGGGACACGTGATCAGGTCATCAAATTCGGAATACTGTCCCTTGGCAATTTTGGGCACTTCTGCTGCCCAAGTGGTGAAATTCTACTGGGCCCTTTGAGAGTTTGACCTCTGCATTTCTCCCTCATCATTACTTAAGTCCTCGAGTTTGTGAATACGTTTAGTACAGGCTGTCACGTTCTTTATCACCTTGTTTTTATTTTGTTTCGAGAGTCAACGAACATTGTGGTTTTTGTGGCTGCTAAAGTCGCAACGTGAGCCTCTCTCTTTGCCTTACTGTAGTTCGATACGTGATCGTGGTTTTGAAACCAAACATATGCAATCATTTACAGTAATTTGCTCGATACAGTATGAATGTTTACAGGACTGGGTCACATCTCTGTTTTGCTGCTTTCTTTAGTAGGAGGATTGGATTTCAATATTGCACGCCCTTTGAAGTGGATTGACCATGAATAATGCATTTGGCTGTAAGGGGGGGAAAAAAGAGTGCATTTTGCTGTCATGTCCAACTCACAGCTCAGCAGCTGTTCTGACGAGTTTTAATAAAAAAGAAGAGTTATTTAAGCACATTTCAACATCCTGCCTGTCATTCAATGTCACAATGAGAATATTTATGTCTTCTGCTTTATCTACGAGGAATGACTTTGATACGTCTTACATAATGCTGTGATGTGTGAAATGAAACACTCGATTCAAGAGATTGATTTAGCCTGTGTGTGATATAGGGCCGTGTTAAGTGTTGGTTCTGTTTTGGTTTTGCTGGACTATGCTCAAAACTTTTGATCATGGTAGCACAGGTTGCAGGGATTTCTGAATGAATGCACGAGTTTTTATTTTTGTATTATGCCTCTCAAATGTTCACCTGTGCAAAAATGAGTCGAGGGCTACTATTGGAGTTGTTTTACCCTAAAAAGATATTCAAAGTGCGTGCACCTTTAAAATGCATAAAAACACACGCAGCAAAATGACCTCACGAGCGGGTTGTTGTGCAGTAAAAGCGCTTCTTCCCACGATGGCAAGGGTCAGAGTTGAACACAGAAAACCCCAGCAATGCACGCAGACAGTGACTCACTCCTCCCACACAGCTCCTTAACTGCCCTGGGAGGCTGTGGCACCCAGCCCGTTCTTGCGTTCCCATGCAGCAAGGGCGCATATACTCTCCTCGCTAATGATCTCTAATCTTTGTGAAGTTCAGCAGCGGTTTAAATCGCAGGATGTCTAGACAATTTATTGTTTTAATAGCTACAGTGTGAGCTCTCTATATTTAAAACATGAATGCTGGATGGTTTCTTTGCGTAAATTATTAGCATGCTTAAGATGCTAATCGGCTGCTATCTTGAAGTTAATTAAGAAACAGTAATCATGTCATGAGAGAATGAGACCTAATTTGGGAGCGTTTAACATTCGAAACAGTCCAAGGATAATAACCTGTATAAAGTATTGCAGGCTTGGCAGTGCATAACCCGTGCACAGTGTGGTCACAAATAATGAGTTGTCATCAAGACTTATGCCAGTCATCCAATTGGAATAAACTATTTTGTGTCAATGTCACTGCCCAGTCTTTAATGTTAGTAACCAATTGGCATTTCAGCATATTCATGCAGGCCGATTTTGTTCCCAGATCATTAACATGTGACCTGGGCCAATGGCCCTCTGCAAAGCATGCCATGCTTCCCGGCTATTCATTTGCTCGTAACAGCAAAGTTTGATGGCCCGTCCTCCGAGCATTTTCCATGACTCTTAGTAAGTGATCATTTCAGCATGTCTCTGAAAAAGCCGCAGACCACATCAGCAGGACCCAAGCTGGAAGTCGCCCATGTTTTTGACCAAAGCTTTAGGAACGGCTTTCTTCTTTAACTAATGGCTTCACATGCTTAAGATTGAGGCTTTGATCTTGGATGGATGGAATTTACACAAACTTTTTCAGCTGCAGTCTGTCGAGGAAGCAAGATAAACCTATGGCACAAGAAATTTCTGGTAAAGGATTAAGTAAAAAATATTCATATTCTTGTAAGAGAGACAATGTTTGCACCACCCCTCCACAGCTCTGGCCATCAACTGGAACACATGGATTTAATACAAATTGCGAACACACATTGCTTTTTTATAAATCGTTTTATCGTATTGTTTTGTGTTTTCCTTTCCCCCCCCCCCCCCACACTTTAGATGATTTTGCACAACTGTGCAACATCCCGCGAGGTGGAGACCCGGACATGCGGCGAGTGTCTGGGCAGGGACGCGGCGGCTCGGGCTCGTGGATCGCCCGCCAAGATGACAGGGGACTGGTGTCTGGCCAAAGGTACCCAGCCAGCCGTGGGGGCCCACAACCCCAGGAGTTGCTGGCCGGGTCCCTGCCGCTGTTCGTGCCTGTGGAGAGGGACGATAGTGAGTGACGTCAGCATGCACTTTGTAAAACACATGGAGCAAATAATATGATCCCGTTTTAGCCAGCTGCCTGGATATTTTACAAGGGAGATCCGTGGTGCGTTGGGCACAGCAGCAGCGACAAAAACAAAAGACAAAAACGTCTATTGCAGAGAACGAGTACAGGTTCCTTAAGGAATATTGCACAACTAACAAACAACAAAAACCAGTGCAATTATAATGAGAGCCATAGATGAGAGAACATGTGCAAGTAAGCTCTGTATTTTAGACGAATAGGGACATAAAGAGCAGGAGTGAAGGGAAAATGGGACTGAGCAAATATCAATTACCTCTAGAAACTATTGACAATCCCACACTATATTTCAGAATGAGTAGACATTTGCCTAGAATCCTTCACTGTCTCGGTGGTTTGTGATGTGGTGTTTTTTTTCTGTTTCACACTTTTAACCAAAAATGCTGAATTTAATCTATCCAACTTCATTTTATTAAACATAGATCACAGTACACATAATATCACTTATTTATACGTACAGGAAATATTTTACATGGCAAATATCCTGCTATCTGCAAGGCACAAGAAGACTCTTGATTTGTTGCTTTCTCTTCAGGACTGTTTGACAGCTTTGAGGGCCTGCAGGCACAGGAGTGTGGCATCCTGAACGGATGCGAAAACGGGCGATGCGTTCGTGTCCCCGAAGGGTACACGTGTGACTGTTATGACGGGTACCAGCTAGACCTTTCCCGCATGGTGTGCACCGGTACGGCCAAACCGCATGCCCACACGTGGCAACATGAGTCCCAAGCACCACCCATTGCCACGAGCGCCTTTTTCTCACGCAGCACTGCAGAAACGCTTTCGAGTGAATGTAGCATCACTGGCGAGATGCTTTACTCCAGGATGTGAATGAACCTTAACGGGTCGTGTGCAATAACACCATTTCTCATAAAATGCACCTGTATGATTTATCTCGGTTTATTCACAGTAAGTGACCGTCAACTCTCAGCTGTGTCTTGCGATAGTATTTAATAATGTTGTGATGATGCCTGTTTGTAGATGTGAACGAGTGCGAGGAGCTCAACGAACGCATGTCACTCTGCCGCAATGCCAAGTGCATGAACACGCAGGGCTCCTACAGATGCGCGTGCCTGCCCGGCTTTGTGCCTTCGCAGCAGCCCAACTTCTGTGTCAAGATTCAAAATGAGCGCGAAAACAGACACAAACGAAAATCAAACCACAATTAAAACGGCAAGAGCCAGATCACTTAGCATTGCAACGACTTACGACTCGCCTGTGTGAAGGATTGCACAATCCGGGCCAGCAGACCTCTTTCGCTCTCCAGCTGTCGGATATCACGATTCAACACAGGTTTTGAGTCAAGCTGCCCTTGGAGGAAAGTACTTTTCTTCAATTGTGTCGACATAGAATGATATGGCAGCTGACATAGATGAGCAAGTCTCGGCATGTTTCCGAAGTGACTAGTAGTAAATATATTGAGAATTAAACCGATTAAAAGCCCACTATTTGTGTAGCTAATGTTGAGATGGTGTGTGTCCTCAGAGGGGATGTCAGTCAAGAAACAAATGCAGATGCATATGTTGCTTTTTGAAGCCTTAAAAACAGTGACCAGAACGTCACCTACATTTCAAATGTCGAATGAAAAATCTTCAGCAGTTATGTATTGTTTTGAAATCTATTGCTCTAGTTACTGTATTTCATGCAGACTAATATATTATTTAGTTAGATTTTTTTTAAGTACTGCATAGCAAAATACTTGTGTACCATTTTAATGAAATGTCTATTTTTTGTTCTACGTCTTCCTAATAATTTTAATTAGTAGTTCTGCAGGACTGAAACTTACTGTAAATGATAAACAAAAAGTGTTTGTGTTGCAAGGTAATCCACGGTTTAGGGTTTTTTTCTATTGCAATTATGCACACACAGAATACTGTAGTTATGTTGTCATCTCTGCCCTGTGGAGCAGAAATGCTAATGTTGTATGACCCATTTTTTTCTTCACATGGGCAAAATAAAAACCAAGACTTTTTTTTTCATAGACAGCTGGTTTAGCTGTTGCGTTATATAAAATTAGAATGTTTGCTATGTGTAAGTTAATTATTGCCTATTCAAGTGCTGTATTCAAGCCTTTTCCAAAGAATTAAAAGAGTATTAGCTTTTGGTTTGTTTAAATGTGTTTTTTGCTTCCCATGAGTGCCGGAGGTTTGCCATTTTAATTCCTCTTTGGTGACAATGAGAGCTCGCTTCCCAGGGGAATACACCAAAGAAGTGAAAGCGCACACCACTACCACCACTCGAGACACGGCTTCACCCAAAAGGAGCAGCGATGAATGGCACGAGCATTCTGTCAAATACCACAGTGGCATTAAAATAATCGCCAGAAATAACGAGACCAATTCAAAGCGTACAACGATGTGTTAACTCGGTAGGCATTATCACGATGCTTTTAAATGGTATACAGTATTGTAATTCTTAACATAATTGCACTTATTCTGTTATAGCTAGTGCTTAGCGCTACGGCTGCAGAAGGCAACCAATGGGATCGTGTAATCGCAGTGTAATACATTTTGAATGCTCTTCACTAACTTTTAAATGAAGTATGTTTTCGCCAACATTATGCATTGTTAATGGTCAGCAGTTACCGGTTGTAACCCACCGTGACCATCAGTACCTCCGATTAGCACGGTTGACGACGTCCGGTTGCTAAAGAAGTTCAACTTGCATACAACGCAACATTGTTAGTAATGTAGTCATTTTTGTATTGGAGAGGGTGTCACGTGAGTGTCAATGCTCACTTTCATTGGGATGTGTGGCCAATCCCTTAATATAGTATTTATACAGATGCAGGCACACTGTGTATGAATTAAGAAATGACAGTGTAAACGTATAACAATCACCAATTAAAAGTAGAATAACTTAATTTACATGAATAAAATTTTCGTATTATTCCCTGTGTCATGCATGTGTTTATTGTGGGGGGTGGGGGGGAAACAAAACTATATTTGCTGGTTTAAGTAGGGATAAGTGTAACAATAAAATTATAAAAATATAAAACAATAAAATTCTCACGACGTTTCGACTGCAACACAAGCAATCATCATCAGGTGTGAAAACCACAGCAAGAAAATTTGAAAAAAGTGGCGTTTTTTTTTAACGTTAACACCACGGAGAGCGATTTGGCAGTTTGTTCAGATGGACGAGTCCATCTATGTTCGGAAAAGAGGAGGGGGGAGACGAAAATAATGGATGCGGTCTGAAAGCCACCGTAAGCGTGAACAATCAATTAAGACCCAAAATGGTTTATCAAATCCTTCCAATGATTGCTAAGCCAGAATCCATCTTCTCGGTTGAAATTATCTCTGTGTTTATATATGTGGATAGCCTCATGAACGAATCTCTTATGGTAGCCAGATGGCTTGCAAAGAACCTCTGTCTTGGAGTCAATGTCATGTGAGCCTACTGAATTATGACAGTGATCTGCCATTGCCGAGACAGAGGTTCTTTGCAAGCCATCTGGCTACCATGGAATATTCGTTCATGAGGCTATCCAAATATATAAACACAGCCAATTTCAACCGAGAAGATGGATTCTGGCTTAGCAATCATTGGAAGGATTTGATACACCATTTTGGGTCTTAATTGATTGTTCACACTTACGGTGGCTTTCAGACCGCATCCATTATTTTCGTCTCCCCCCTCATTTCCGAACATAGATGGGCTCGTCCATCTGAATGACTGCCAAATCGCTCTCCGTGGTGCTGTTAAAAAAAACGCCTCTTTTTTCAAATTTCTTACTGTGGTTTTCACACCTGATGATGATTGCTTGTGTTGCAAACGAAACGTCGTGAGAATTTTATTGTTTAATATTTTTATTATTTTATTGTTTCCCTTCTACGTGACTTTACCAAAAGAACCAAGAATATGAATCCCTGCAGTCACGAAAGCTTTAAATCAAAATTTAGGGATAAGTGGTTTAGTTACGTTACGTCGATATATACATTTCTAATGCATCTTATCAATTTGCCAAAAGTTTCTACTTGAACAGACAGCACTTATTATGCTATAGAAAACAATGTAGCTACATAGTGCATGATAGCTTTCAAGTAACATCATGCCATCCTATTTCACTGATCAATGTAATGTTTCACTGCGATCATCTTCCCATTCCACACTGTAATCATCTCATTCCCCACTGTAATCATCTTCTCATTCCCCACTGTAATCATCTTCCCATTCCCCACTGTAATCATCTTCCCATTCCCCCCTGTAATCATCTTCCCATTCCACACTGTAATCATCTCATTCCCCACTGTAATCATCTTCCCATTCCCCACTGTAATCAACTTCCCTTTCCCCACTGGAATCCTTTTCCCATTCCCCACTGTAATCCCCTTCCCATTCTCCACTCTATATCATCTTCCCATTAACCACTGTAATCATTTTCCCATTCTCCACTGTAATAATCTTCTTATTCCCCACTGTATTCATCTTCCTATTTCCCCACTGTAATAATCTTCCCATTCCCCACTGTAATCATCTTCTCATTCCCCACTGTAATAATCTTCCCTTTCCCCACTGTAATCATTTTCCCATTCACCACTGTAATCCTCTTGACATTCCCCACTGTAATCATCTTCCCATTGCCCACTGTAATCATCTTCCCATTGCCCACTGTAATCATCTTCCCATTCCCCACTGTAATCATCTTCCCATTCCCCACTGTAATCATCTTCACATTCCCCACTGTAATCATCTTCCAAATTCCCCACAGTAATCATCTTACCATTCCCCACTGGAATCATCTTCCCATTCCCCACTGTAATCATCTTCCAAATTTCCCACTGTAATCATCTTCCCATTCGCCACTGTAATCCTCTTCCCATTCCCCACTGTAATAATCTTCTCATTCCCCACTGTAATCATCTTCCCATTCCCCACTGTAATCATCTTCCCATTTTCCACTGTAATCATCTTCCCATTCGCCACTGTAATCATCTTCCCATTCCCCACTGTAATCATCTTCCCATTCCCCACTGTGATCATCTTCCCATTCCCCACTGTAATCCCCTTCCCATTCTCCACTATAATCCTCTTCCCATTCCCCACTGTAATCATCTTCCCATTCCCCACTGTAATCATCTTCCCATTCCCCACTGTAATCATCTTCCCATTCCCCACTGTAACAAACTTCCCATTCCCCACTGTAATCATCTTCCTATTCCCCACTGCAATCATCTTCCCATTTTCCACTGTAATCATCTTCCCATTCGCCACTGTAATCATCTTCCCATTCCCCACTGTAATCATCTTCCCATTCCCCACTGGAATCATCTTCCCATTCCCCACTGTAATCATCTTCCAAATTTCCCACTGTAATCATCTTCCCATTCGCCACTGTAATCCTCTTCCCATTCCCCACTGTAATAATCTTCTCATTCCCCACTGTAATCATCTTCCCATTCCCCACTGTAATCATCTTCCCATTTTCCACTGTAATCATCTTCCCATTCGCCACTGTAATCATCTTCCCATTCCCCACTGTAATCATCTTCCCATTCCCCACTGTGATCATCTTCCCATTCCCCACTGTAATCCCCTTCCCATTCTCCACTATAATCCTCTTCCCATTCCCCACTGTAATCATCTTCCCATTCCCCACTGTAATCATCTTCCCATTCCCCACTGTAATCATCTTCCCATTCCCCACTGTAACAAACTTCCCATTCCCCACTGTAATCATCTTCCCATTCCCCACTGTAATCATCTTCCCATTCCCCACTGTAATCGTCTTCCCATTCCCCACTGTAATCATCTTCCTATTCCCCACTGCAATCATCTTCCCATTTTCCACTGTAATCATCTTCCCATTCGCCACTGTAATCATCTTCCCATTCCCCACTTTAATCATCTTCCCATTCCCCACTGTAATCATCTTCCCATTCCCCACTGTAATCGTCTTCCCATTCCCCACTGTAATCATCTTCCCATTCCCCACTGTAATCATCTTCCCATTCCCCACTGTAACAAACTTCCCATTCCCCACTGTAATCATCTTCCCATTCCCCACTGTAACCATCTTCCCATTCCCCACTGTAATCGTCTTCCCATTCCCCACTGTAATCATCTTCCTATTCCCCACTGCAATCATCTTCCCATTTTCCACTGTAATCATCTTCCCATTCTCCACTGTAATCATCTTCCCATTCCCCACTGTAATCCTCTTCCCATTCCACACTGTAATCATCTTCCCATTTTCCACTGTAATCATCTTCTCATTCCCCACTGTAATCATCTTCTCATTCCCCACTGTAATAAACTTCCCATTCCCCACTGTAATCATCTGCCAATTCCCCACTGTAATCATCTGCCCATTCCCCACTGTAATCATCTTCCCATTTTCCACTGTAATCATCTTCTCATTCCCCACTGTAATCATCTTCTCATTCCCCACTGTAATAAACTTCCCATTCCCCACTGTAATCATCTTCCCATTCCCCACTGTAATCATCTTCCCATTCCGCACTGTAATCATCTGCCCATTCCCCACTGTAATCATCTTCCCATTCCCCACTGTAATCATCTTCCCATTTTCCACTGTAATCATCTTCCCATTCGCCACTGTAATCATCTTCCCATTCCCCACTGTAATCATCTTCCCATTCTCCACTATAATCATCTTCCCATTCCCCACTGTGATCATCTTCCCATTCCCCACTGTAATCCCGTTCCCATTCTCCACTATAATCCTCTTCCCATTCCCCACTGTAATCATCTTCCCATTCCCCACTGTAATCATCTTCCCATTTCCCACTGTAATCATCTTCCCATTCCCCACTGTAACAAACTTCCCATTCCCCACTGTAATCATCTTCCCATTCCCCACTGTAATCATCTTTCCATTCCCCACTGTAATCGTCTTCCTATTCCCCACTGCAATCATCTTCCCATTTTCCACTGTAATCATCTTCCCATTCCCCACTGTGATCATCTTCCCATTCCCCACTGCAATCATCTTCCCATTTTCCACTGTAATCATCTTCCCATTCCCCACTGTAATCATCTGCCCATTCCCCACTGTAATCATCTTCCCATTCCCCACTGTAATCATCTTCCCATTCCCCACTGTAATCATCTTCCCATTCCCCACTGTAATCGTCTTCCCATTCCCCACTGTAATCATCTTCCCATTCCCCACTCTAATTATCTTCCCATTCCCCACTGTAATCATCTTCCTATTCCCCACTGCAATCATCTTCCCATTTTCCACTGTAATCATCTTCCCATTCGCCACTGTAATCATCTTCCCATTCCCCACTGTAATCATCTTCCCATTCCCCACTGTGATCATCTTCCCATTCCCCACTGTAATCCCCTTCCCATTCTCCACTATAATCCTCTTCCCATTTTCCACTGTAATCATCTTCCCATTCCTCACTGTAATCCTCTTCCCATTCCCCACTGCAATCATCTTCCCATTCACCACCGTAATCATCTTCCCATTCCCCACTGTAAAAACCTCTGTCTTGGAGAAGTCAATGTCATGTGAGCCTACTGAATTATAACAGTGATCTGCCATGGCCGAGACAGAGGTTCTTTACGAGCCATCTGGCTACCATGAAAGATTCGTCCATGAGGCTATCCACATATATAAACACAGACAATTTCAACCGAGATGGATTCTGGCTTAGCAATCATTGGAAGGATTCGATAAACCATTTTGGGTCTTAATTGATTGTTCACGCTTACGGTGGCTTTCAGACCGCATCCATTATTTTCGTCTCCCCCTCCTCTTTTCCGAACATAGATGGACTCGCCCATCTGAATAATTGCCAAATCGCTCTCCGTCGTGCTAACGTTAAAAAACGCCACTTTTTTAAATTTTCTTACTGTGGTTTTCACAACTGATGATGATTGCTTGTGTTGCAGTCGAAACGTCGTGATATTTTTA